CACACATACATACATACATACATACATACATACATACATACATACATACATACATACATACATACATACATACATACATACATACATACATACATACATACATACATACAAGCGGGCTATTCACTGGGCATCCAGAAAAAAAAATTGCGACGATAACTCCTGGGATATCCTCCCACCCCCTCTACTCGTGAAGACGCAAGAAAGAAGTCCTAAATATAACTAGTATTTTCAGAACGCGAAGTCGCCGAATTAAGCACTGTCTCGCACTGACTTACCTGCGTTGATAAATCAAGAACTTTCTTGCACACCCGCACTCATAGCGTTTATCTGAGAACATTAAGGGTGCAGTCTGAACGTGGTCGAGCTTTTTTTTTTTTTTTTCAAAAGGACTAGGACTAGGACTAGGGAGTCAGCAGTTGCCAACTGCTTTCTCCCGCTCCTCGAGAAATAAACTTTTAGTATTGGTAATTGAACTTTGACTGACTGACTGACTTTCTACCCCACCAGGACATCACACAAGCGATAAACACCCGATGACACAAAGTGCTACCATGCGGATGAGGATCACCGTGGAGGGGTCCCAGAAACCGCGTTCACACCAATGGCCATATTTATGGCCTGCCTATATTGAAAAATAACAACAAATTTCGTCCTAAAAATGGCGAAACACCTATTGCTAGGTCGTATATCTTTGGTCGAATTTGCTTTTCCTAATAAAATTCTCTACAGATATCTGCTTGGTGCTCGTACAATACATCGAAGACAGGACTTCAGCCTTAGTGCAAGTTTTTATTTTGATAGTTGGATAATTGCACTCTTCAGCTGCATGTTGAGCTGTGAAACTTTAAATTACTTCTTCCATCAAATGTGTCTGTGAAAAACATGTTGCGACTTTTACAGAAGAAAGTATTAAGTAATAAATAGGTTACTTCCCTTAGCAGAAAATGCGTAGCGGTTGATATACAGTTCTGGGGAAAACAAGAATAGACCCACTGCCTCCCCAAAAGCATGTCGTAAGAGTCGACTAATTGGGAAGCTTCCTTTGAAGTCGGAGTGCATCTGCCGGAGAGGCAAGGAACCAACAGTCTGTATTCAAGAGAATGAGATCTGTAAAACTGATGCACACGCAACACTCAGGTTCTGGAGCAGGACTGCAGTTCAGTAGTGGACGAGCAACCAGAACCTTCCGCCAGAGTTTACAGCTGGTGAACGTGAAGAAGAAGAAGAAGAAGATATACAGTTAGTTGCGCATCTTCTACATTAAGGGCTTTGCAGAACCAGCCCTGACAATTTTGTGGGGGTCAGTTTGTGATTTCACTATGTAATTGTATGTTCAGTAGTTTGCTGTCATTGGAGAACAACTAATTACATCGAATGAAAGTTAAATCATTTAATAATTGCACTTGAAAACAAATGTCTGAGGAAAATAATGAAAATGAAATGGGATGAATCCAATAGGAGTAAAGAAATAAGAGAAATGTCTGGGCAACCACTAAAATCGACAGTTATAAGACAGAGAAGATGGTGCTACGTTGGACGCATCATGAGAACAAACCGGCAGACAATTACCAAACAGGCATTGAAATGAGATATAAAGGGATTAAGGAGGCGCGAGTGCCCAAAAAAAAACCCTAAGACGGTCGTTGAAGAGAGAGACCAAAGCTGCTGGACTGGATTCTATCCACGATATTGAACTGATCGCACAGGTTAGGACGGAATGGAGGAATAGACTGCGAGCCTTGTGTGACATGGCACAACATGATAGTGAATGAATTCAATAGCTTGCTAATGTCTTTGCAACGTAAGCTCTGGATAACATTGTTGAAACTAACGCATCGCGGTGTGCCCAAAAGCTCCGACAACTGGAATCAAGCCCAGCACCAACTGCCAAGGAATCTTTTACGTGCGCAACAATACACACGGGCGTCCGGTCTTTACTACCCAGAGACCAGGTTGAAATTCTAGAATTCCACGTGAAAAAATCCTAGCCTTCACAGGGTTTGGACAAAGGACCTCTAGCACTCGAGGTGGACTCTATGCTTCGAGACCACGCAGCCCCCAACTCTCCTCATGAAGGTAAAGTGATTACATTTGTATTTATTTTATCTAATTCCTTTTTGTATAGAAAAACCACAACAGCCAAAATAAATGCTGGGGTTGGTTCTGCAACGCCCTGTAACGGATATGCAACTTACTTTTAACTGGTTTTACATGTATATATTTTAGTTATTAGTAAAAGTAAAAAAAAGTAAAGATCAATGTAAACGCCTTTAGGTGCATCGGGCATATTGGAAGAGCACTCATATTTTTACAGGCCAATTGGCACTTGGTGGGTAATGTGGTCAGCATTACCCCGGTCGTCTTTACTTCCCTAGGACAACCATCCTGGTACCCGTTTTAGACTGCGTCGACCTGCGATGCCCCATACCACGATACAAATCCATGCAGCCACTGGTGGGTTTCGTCTTTGAATGAAAGGAGGCTGGGGCAAGGTCCTTGAGCCGAACCCATAAGCAAACAATTTGGAGTGCCAGGTGACTCACCATTACCACCAGTCTAAGCTGTTTGCCTCAAGCTCTGAAGGCCGTGCGCTCGTTTTACGGTTGCGTCGTTCAGTTAACGAGTGCACTGTTTACCTAGACCTTCTCTGGATCGTCACTGGAGCTATAGTGTTCATGCTTTGGGTCACGTTTTAGTCTGTCCATTCAGCGGAGAGAGGCTGTTATAAAGAATAAAACCAGGTGCGATGAAGTCGATCCTTCTGACTGACAATTTTTTTTATAAAGTGCTGTTCAGTTTACCATCACCATAGTGTGCTCTACCGAGAAGCATCGGTGTTATGCTTCACCCTCATATATGATCACCAAGATCATGGATCAGGTCAGTGTTATTATTTCGTCCCAATTCCTGTGGGGAAGCCACTCTGGTAGTTATATTAGACCCAGACAGTCCAAGAAATGTTTCCTGGCCCATAAGACACAATTAGACTGAAAACTGTTTCCTGGCATGTGAGGCTGTGTAAAATTACTATTTAATTTCTGCAAATAACCAGCTTGAACAAATACATAAAGGAAAATACAGAGAAGCTTCAGTGGGTGAGTGTGTCTGGGGAGAGATGCAGCTAGGGTTTATAATCCTATTATCCTACAAAAATAATGTGTTCTGAGGAAATCTGGGTGTTATCTTTATTAAGGATTTCCTTCTATTTGGCATATGACCAGGCTGGTAATTCTAAATTTGGCTCACAGACCAAAAAGAGGTTGCACACCCTTGTTCTAGATCATGCCTGCATATGTGAACATTCTTCTTCTTCTTTTCATTCTTTCCCTGCCAGTTATTTTCAGACAGGAACCTAGGTCTCCTGCATGAGAGCGCAGCATTTCAGCCAGCCGATCCTCCAACCAATGAACAAAGGAAAAAAAAAAAAAAAGGGGGGGGGGGGGGGGGCAATAATTAAACTATACATATTATGAAAACACAAAACTAACACCTTTTGCAGTGATATAACACATGTTTATCTAAGCAGCAAACAATCTGCTTTCTGTTACCACAAAAAAACATAACTATTATTGCAAACTCAACAGTGGTGATAACATACATTTATTTCCAAAATACTTCTGATCAAATAATGGATGCTTGCTTAAAGCAGGAAATGCTTGTGTGATAAAAAAAACAGTCACCTATACACATAAACTGTGGAATGTGGCTACAGTTAAGTAGTTAAGTAGAAAATAACATTAAAAAACAGGAGTTTTGGTGAAGTCATGGTATAACATATATAGTAGCACTCTTGCCCGCTAGGCCAGTCACAATGTGTTGTTAATCTTTTTAATTTTCGCTGCCAGTGATCAAAAGATGGGAAGGCCACAAGCCTCTATAAAGGCTTTGTTGGGACATATGTCCTCCACAGCTTGGTTTCCATGAGATGGCCAGTGGGATCTCTCTACTGCATGTCTGCAGTACATTTCTCAGTCATAGTAGTTTTGAATTCTCTTTAAAGTAAAACTTTTACTTCCCCAGTTTAATCTCTAGTACACCAGGCTTGGTCAACTGTATGGTAAAATTCCAGAGGACTCATTTGGGTTATCACACCCAGCTCGGTCTCGCTCTGCAGAATGGCTAGCCTTCGGTGACCATCCCTAGGTATCTCCTCAAACACTGCACAAACAAACCCCACCATCTTCAGAGCAAGGCAAACAATTTCACCACCTCACCTGGATCTTAAATCTGTTAAACCAAGGAACAGATAACTGTGTCAGAAGTCAATACACTACCCACCGCACCACAACAGACTAGATGGGAACACCACAAAAGAGGCATATGCACATGAAAATGAACTGGATTTCAAATGCAAAGCATACCTCACTGAAAGACGGTTATAAAAATATGAAAATTATAAATGCAAATTATATTTTCTTGAAATTAGGGTAAAATCATTACAAGTCATCTCAGTGTTTAAATACAATTTATCACCCCTACACATCATATGAAAGACTTAAGTGGAATATTTTACTACAAGTAATTTGAATGTTTAATTGTAGTAAAGTACCACTTCAACAAGTAATGTGAATGTTTAAATGTAACGTATCACTTCAAAAGGTAATCTGAATGTCTAAGTGTAATGTATCACGGCTACAAGTAATCTGAAAGTTATGTGTAGTTAAACGATCTTAGGGTTTAGGTAAAATATTCCTTGCATAAGGCATCTTAGATAAGTGCCTAAAGCAGGGTTTCCCTACCTTTTATGTGTGCCCTGACCCACTTAAGCTTTTCTAAAATTCTTATGTTCCCCTGTGTAACAAATGGCTTAACCTCATTGCCACAAAGACCATATAGATATTTAAATATAATCCCAAGTAGTATTCACAGTGATAGAACTTCTTACAACAAATTAATGACACTATTAAAACATGTTAGCTAAAAATCTTGAGCATAGTGTTGTGTTGTTCTGTAATCTAATGATTATTCTGTATGTTATACATTAAATAGGTAATTCCTTCTTAAAATGTTTTCTTCAGTTTTTCAAATGGCCCATGCTGGTCCTTTATTAGTGTGAAACTGTCAATAATCTGGCCACCCTGAAATAATAAAACAAAGATGAGTGAGTCTGGGGTAGACAAAATGACTGGCACAGATTAACTTTTTTTTCTTCTTCTTCGTGTTCACCAGCTGTAAACTCCGGCAGAAAGTTCTGGTTGTTCGTCCACTTCTGGACTGCAGAACTGCAGATCTGACTCATTTGTATGCAGACTGCTGGTTCCTTGCCTCTCAGGCAGATGCACTCCAACTCCGAAGGAAGCTCCCAATTAGTCGACTCTTACGACATGCTTTTGGGTAGGCAGTGGGTCTATTCTTGTTTTCCTTATAATAGGGCCGCGGAACCCACACAGGGAAAATCGTATGATTTTTATTATCAGGTAGCAGGTTCTTTGAGCAAAACATGCCTTTTATCAGGGCACCCTGGAGAGCTGCCCCCACCCCATGAACTTTCAAGCACAGAGTGTCCTTGATATCCTGGTCATTCCCAGCCTCTTCTTTCAGGAAACATACCCATGGTTCAGTTACCTCCAAACCCTTAGAGTGTTTTACATGGAAGAAGTGTTTCACTTTTATGAGAACACAACTGTTTACGAGCCAGCTTTCTTCGACATCCAGATCATGAAGAATGCTGTTGTCAAGATTTTAAAGTTTTTTGCAGACGGTGTGACATCAGTCAATTCAGACAACATTTGAATAAACAAGAGACTACAATCTGCAGATGATAACTAATTGTTTTTGTGATGACACATTGTATATGAACAACATTGAGAAAAGACCCAGTAACGCATCTGGCGTACAGTGTTAGACATGGTTTTATATATCTCTTGGCACTTGAAGATCTTGGCTTCAAATTCGCAGCAAGGGAGACTTTTAAATAAATGACCTCAGCTGCCAGATTAAGACAGGTTAAAATATATAGAAGGAAATGTTATGGGAAGTAAAAGTGACCACATCACCCATCAAGTGCTAGTCGATCTTAAACAAACAAAATATGGGCCTAGCAGCTTGTGCCCTAATATGCAAAAGGCGTGAGGAGAGTTTTTAACTTTATTATGGTACCAAGCTAAAAGGTGTCTAGCTTACACTGAGAGAAATTAAAGCCAACATAACAGTAATAGTAATAAAAGAGCAGTAAAACAGTAAATATGTATAGAGGTTAACCTCTGTGGCCGAGAATAAGAATAGATTTTCCAAAAATATACAAGGGAGAAGAATAGATTTTCCAAAAATATACATGGGAGAAGAATAGATTTCCTTAAAACATACAAGGGAGAAGAACAGATTTTTCTAAAATATACAAGGGAGAAGAATAGATTTTCCTAAAATATACAAGGGAGAAGAATAGATTTTCCTAAAATAAATTTCTTGACATTGTAATTTTTTTAGGGGCTGGACTTTTTCCAAAAATGACCTTGGCTCCCAGGTCAACCCAGCCTTGAGTATTGGGAAGTGAAGGTGGGCGGCGTGATGCTGACCACATCCCCCACCAAGTGCCATCTGGTCTGTAAGAAATAGGTCTAGTCCTATATACTCAATTTGCCTGAAGGTCCTTTACTTACCTTTATCGTAAGTTGTTGCTAATATTGGTCAGGTGGTACTTACCTGGTCATCTGACACTTGTTCCACATACAAATGTGTTTTGTTGAAAAACTTCATTCGTGTGTAGCCATAATCACTAGAGCGGAAAGCTGACCAATCAGGTGGGTTCTTCTCAAAATATTCCACCCTTTCACTGCAGCCCTGAAAGTAATTGTCAACAGAGAGTCAAACAATGCATCACACATTTTGTCTGAGCTCTGAGAAGATTAACAGTTTACACTTTGTTTCCATGCATAAAATAAAGACCTTACAGTCCCTACAGCAGAACTATTCAACTAAGTTTATTCAGGGGCCAAAATGTTGGAAAATGGGCATCATCATGGGCCAGAAGCCAAAGTCCCACCATAGAAAGATCATTAATGCAATACAACTGGCAATGATCTGCGGGCCACTTGCTAGGTCTTTGCGGGCCAGTTTTAGCCCACGGGCTGCCAGTTGAATAGCCTTGCCCTACAGTATGCATGCCAGATGAGACCACATACACCTAAGTACATTCTGCAGGCTGCGCACTATGCTTAACACCCACACAAAAAAAACTGGCTCCAAGAACAAAGTGTGCAGAGCTAGCTAGGGGGAACCAATGAGGATCTGCAGCCATCAAGCCCTTTCACAGACTGGGCTCACTTGACAGTCTGACCTGAGCATACGAAATGCTGGTCTGACCTGAGCATACAAAATGCTGGTCTGACTGAGCATACAAAATGCTGGTCTGACTGAGCATACAAAATGCCGGTCTGACCTGAGCATACAAAATGCCAAGAAGTAGTTTGTGTCTACTTCAATGTGGACAGGTCATACTGGGAGATATTCAACCATCAGGGTACTAGGATTATAATAATTGTTCCTAGTTAGTTCACAGTCACATACATGTTATCCAGACAGGTTATATCTAGCCACAACTTTCATTTATCATCAACGATTGTGGTAATTTAAAAATGACAAGTTCTGCTTCTTACTTTGATTCATCTTTTCATGGGTTAATATCTCACATACAAAGTCCGAAAATTAAGTAATGAGACTAATTTGATTATGGCCAAGACAAAAAAAAAGCCATCTAGGAAGCAAAGCATGGAATTCAAAGAGGCAACCTTCATATATGTTTTCAGTGGAAGTCATCATCATCATCACCAAAAGGCAAAAAAAATCAGACTTCAAAAGTCGAAAGTGAAGACAAGGTGTGCTTCTACGGCAGCAAAGGAGTTATTTACAAAGAATTTATTCCAGAGGGACAGACTGTTACTGCCACAGTTTGTTTAAGAATTTTGAAACATCTATTGAAAATGATTCTCTAAGTCCGACCGAGTATTTAACACCTGGTAGTTTTTTCTTTCCTCATGACAATGCACTGGCTCAGTGGGCAGTAGATGTACATGAGTTTTTGGCCCCAAAACAAGTATGTGTTCTCAACCATCCACCCTATTCCCCAGATTTGTCTTGTGGTTATTTTCTATTCCCAAAATTAAGTTACCATTAAAAGGATGCTTCTTTGACGATACTGACGACATCTAAAGGGCTGTAACATCGACTTTAAGGACCATAACAACAGAAGAACTAGAGAGGTTGTTCCAGTATTTGTTAGATTGTGCCACTTGCTGTATCAATGCACAAGGGGCTTTGAATAAAATACAGGCTATATCTTCAACTGTTGTTAATTTTAATTTTTATGGAATTAGTCTCATAACTTAATAGTCAGAAATTGTACAAACAGGTTAGATAATGATTTAGCACACAGAAGCGAACAGAAATTCACAGATCAATGTTACATGCTAGCTACCTTTAAATATTATCTCAGGGTATTCAGGTGTTAGGAAAGTAATAGGCAGACAGACTGGCTGGTTCTGCACCACTGTTGATGCATGATGTGGTCAAGGCCCTTTGGGAGTAAGTGATCAGTGTGGAAGCATAAATAAATCATCAGTCTGAAGAGAATGGTACAGTAACGAGAGACCAGTGGATCTGGCGGACACACAACACTCAGAGGAAAGGCAGAATTCAATCAGACTGCCACTGGTAGCATTGGAATTTTGAACTGTCCCAACATCACTTAACTCAACTCTAGAAAAATAGCATCATTAAATTTCCCCCCTTTTCTATGATGCATTTTTCACAGAAGCCATATTTCTCTAGCCTCTAGATGGTTCTCTTATCCACAAGTTAATAGTTGATTTTTTTAAAATAAAGTAATTCAACACTAAATGTCTTTAACTTACAGCAGATCCAGTAATTATGTGTGTTGTTCCACCAGGGTTTGTGTAAGGCTCATCATAGCTCCCATTTTCCACCTGCAGAAAAGAAATATATTCTCCGTAAGCCTTTAGGTAAATGCATAGAAAAATGCCAACTGGCTTCAGCAGAGAATCATGTTTTACTGCTTGACATGAAGTCAAAGACTGGGATACCCAACCAACACTGTATCATAAGGAATTGCAAAAAAAATATCTTATTATTAAGCCTTTTAAATAAATAAAAGTACAGTTGAGTATAGTTATATAAGTACCAACTGACTTAACAAGACAATCACATATTATAGCATGACACAAAGTTTAAGTGACAGCAAGAGAGGCTGACCCAAGCATCAGTGTAACACACAAAAATGGCAAAGTAATATATTAACATAACGACTTGTAAATAAATGGATAATAAAAATACCAACTGATGTAAGCAGATAATTATGTATTCTTCTTCTATATTTGTCCATAAAAGGCAGTTGGTACATTGTGTTGTGGTTTACAGTTAGGCTGTGATTTTTGCTTCTTTCAGACAAAAATCTCAGATTTCAACAAATCCTAATTAGTTAACTCTAATGTCTTTCTCTCTTTCTATCTCTCTCAAGCACAGACATGCATAACTAAATCTGAACAACTCACCTTCATGTTGTAGACAGGCCAAAGTCTTTCATAAGAATGTTCATGTGCCCAAATAGACAGATCCACACCTTGTTCGTAAAACAGGGGTTCGAGTCCTGGTATATTTAGCATGGGAACTCCAACACGAACCTAACAAGATTAAAAAAAAAAATTTAGTACATTCAAATCTTAGTAGATTAGAGGTTATGCTGTAATTCTGGCTTCAGAGGATATGGTACTTAGTGATTCTATGAGCATCTTCATTATCACCCAGAAGCTGTTCGCAAAGAAAGAGCTGATAGACTTGCTGGTTCTTCCACAGCTGCAAATGGCCAGCCTGCAGATTACACTGGCATTGTTAATGTCCACAGAGAGGACGAATGGAGGATTACAGCATAGAAATAGCACGTCCACACTGCTGCTAAGAATGCAAGAACTGGAGTAAAGACTGGCACAGCCAGGCACGAGAAGCATAATGGATGTACGAGAAGTATTGTCAACCAGCACAGGACTGGTACGGTTGCTTGCAAGACGCTCAATTATACAGGGGGAAAGGGAGGTAATCTTAGCTTCTGGAGTGCTGTGAAGGTAAGATAACTCAAAACAGACCTGGTTCAAACGGATGAGGGTGAAAAAACTTAAGGACCATTGTGCATGCTTAAATCACTTAGGTTAGTTGCGTATCCTTTACAGGACATTGCAGAACCAACACCAACAGATCCTAGCTGTTGTGGGCTGTTGTGTGGTTTTTCTAGGAAAATTACGTCCAGTAGTTTGCCATTGCTTTCAGGAGGGTCGGCTTTCTTGATACCACTGTCGAAACCAATGCAAGGCGCATGGGCCGCAGCTGGGATCGAACCCGGCACTACGAAGCGTTCGCATCAACTTAGCCACAGAGCCGACACAAATCACTTAGTAGATGAAAGAAAAAATACAGGTAGAACGAGCCAATTTCTAAACAGTTTCTTCTTCTTTTGTTGTCTCTCTGATACCAGGTTGTCGCCCAGTGTCATGGTTTTCTGTATTTGCCTTCTTGGGTGATGGATTTGTTTATCTTTTTTTGCAGGTTTCTGCTATATCATTTATCCAACTCTTTCTTGGTCTTCCCCCCAAATGTTCTTCTGTAAAAAGTCTCAAATGCAGTTTGGTCTGGCTACATTTTCAATAAATGGGATGAACCATCTCTTTCTTTGTCTGTCAATATTACTCAGACACAGTCTCTGGTATTTGTAACCCTGTCTCTTCTTGAACGTTTTTTTTTCAATTTAGAAAAAAAAAAAAATAACATCCAAAGGAAAACTAAAAAATATTAACAGCATTTATGACTCTTCTGTATACATGTGGATCCACGCTAGTGCTACAGAGTTCATGTCATGGGCTGATATTCTTCCTCGGTAATCGTCACCCACACAGGACTACAGGTTACACCCGGCTGGTGTAGCCATGATGATGCCCTAATCAAAACTTCTCTGGAAGGTGAGTAGGATATCTAGGATTTGTTTTGTTGTTGGTCTGTCCTTCGATTTGAGATTTTGTAATCTCAGGGTGTCAATCTGTCAGTTAGTGGCCTGGAGAAAAAAAAAAAGGAACAAGCTTTTTTCCCCAGCAAGTGCAAAGTATGGGAACAGACTGGGGTACTTTAGGATGATACTGTTGCGCAATGAAAGTGATTACTTACAAAACAAACCAAACTTGCATAAGGAAAAAACTCACCAAACTTTCATGGCTTGTGCAGTCATCATTATCATTGTTAGAACAGTACATAGGACGGTGGCCAAAAGTAACAATCCATGGTCGTTTGGCTCTGTTTTCAGGCAAATTGGCATCCTAATATCAAAGAAAATAGGAAAGTATTTAAAAAAAAAAAAACTTTACACTCTGAATTTACATATGTGAAGTTTTTACAGTATATAAATGTAGTATTTGCAGCATAATGTCTATATAATGATATGTATAATATGTTGCTTTGCAGACATAATTACGTTTGAATGTAAAAAATGATGCCAGACGCAGCACTATTGTGGGAAAAACAAGAACTGACCCACTGCCTCCCCAACAAGCAAGAGTAAGAGTCAACTAACTGGGGACTTTCTTTGAAGTCACAGTGCATCTGCCTGAGAGGCCAGGAACAAGAATCTGCACACAAACAGGTCAGATCAGCAAAACAGCTGAGTTTACAAATATAATATGGACAAATTAATACTAACCAATTAGCCATTCAAAATTTCTCATCTATTCTAACCATTTATATTTTTGAAAGTTTTCATGTATTTTTTTTTACCTTATTTCTAAAACTACTTTTACATAAATAACATTTATATTTGTGAAACTGTTTTTTAAGTATTAAAATTAGGAAAGTTTTCATAAATTGAAAATATATTTAAAAACTGCCTTTTACACACTCAATAAGGGGATTTCTAAACATTATTCTTACCATTAAATCTTTCTTAAGCCAGTCATAGTGCTCAAATATCTGGTTGTACCCAAAGTAAGGAAAGTACAAGAACTCAGTTGACAAAGAAACAAAGTGAATCGGTCCCATGTTGAAGCTGTAGTACATTTTCTTATTGTCATTTGGCATGTTAAATCTGGCCCGATAGTTGGAGAAATTGCTGTGAAATAAAAACAGATACTGGGTGTTTAAGATTAATTAAGGCATTAGGACAATAATATTTGTTAACAAAGAAAAAAAAAACAGAGGCAATTTAAAAATAAAAATAATGCATACACAAAGTTTTTTTGGTGGCAGCGCCTTTTTTCAGTTAAAATTTTCCATGGCGCCCTAACCTAAGTAAAAGTATGACTATTCGTGTCTTGGTTAATTTAATTATGGAGCTTTTACAATATTTCGCGGCGCCCCTGTGAAGAGGTAGGTCGCGGCTCCATGGGACGCCGTGGCGCAGTTTGGAAATCACTGGGTTACAGTGTTACTTTTCTCACTTTATGGCACCAGTAATATATGGGCAATACTGGAACTGGATACATCCAGTTCTCTTTGTCTTATAGGTATGGTGCCCACCCACATTTTAAAACTGCCAGGATTAAATGCAGCTTAGAACAATGATTACCTCTGTGGTCCACCCACCAAGTAAAAGGGGCACTGGATTACAGTCATCTTTATATCCAATTCATGGGGTTTTATAAACGAATGATGAGAAAACCCTGGACATATAAAAAAGAGTAATGAGGATGTTTTGAAAGAAACTGACTCACGAAGAGAACTGATTGCCCACATCAGAAAGAGACAATCTACATTCTTTGGTCATGAGATGAGAAGGAGAAAACTGGAGTACATCGTGACAGTAGGTACACAAGACAGAAGGCTGTGGATAGACGTGACTACCACCGCCACACAGCATGGAAGAAGATCCACTTCATGTTGCTGTTGTTGACATAAGGCAGTCACAAGTGATCTCTCTTGCTGCTCATAATATCCCATGTCAGTAACATCCCATTTCCCATTCGACCGTTTTTCTCCAAGTTTTCTTTGGTCGTCCACATTCCTTTTCGCATCTGGCATCCAATGGGGAAGTTGTTGTTACCAGTCATGAGGCATTCTGCAAGTGCGTCCAAGCCAACATCTTACTTCCTCTGGATTCATAAAATGTCTCTTGAAAATAATTAAAGCAATAACAGAGAGGACAGGACACTGGTTTCCTCTCACCTCAATATTCCAAAACTGTTAGGAATTGAAAACTTACTCATAGGCACACATGGCCTGCTACCTCTGACTGAATCCTATACAAATAAACACAAAGTCAGACACATATCCCTCTAAGGTGCCCAACTAGGTGTGAAGCACTCCCCTCAGAAGAATGAAGCAGAAGAGAGGAAGACGAATTTTGTATATTTTTGATTGGGAAATGTCATATTTTAAACAAAAACCATGAGAAATTTTCAGAATAAAAAAAAGATTTGTGAATTATACAATTGAATAATGGAAATGTGTGGAGGAGAAATGTCTTTATAATGTTATCAAGAAATATATCTGTTGACAACTGTATAACAAAACTATGTCAGCAAATTATTCATTATATGAAAACACTTATCTGTTTCTGCTCAATAAATATCAAAGATAAGATAAAAATATATCAAAGATAAATCCTATGTGTCATACTACTTTTTCAGCAATATCTAGTCGTGCACTCAGTATAGTTTTGACAATAATCTTGGATGTAAGCTCAAGGTCTCTTAGGTTTCCCTCAAGTTTAGCTATCAGGTATACTGGGTGTGGCCACACATTGTTTCACAGTTCATCCAAAAGAGGACAGTCTTGCAGGACATTTTCAGCATGAAGACACTGGCAAACAGCTGAACTTATGCCAGAAAGGCTAAGCCAGTCAACAAATATCCAAAGATCCGGAAACAAAAGCCAAAAAGTGCAAACATCACAGCTCTGCTGTAAACAGGTGCAATACAACTGCATCCAAATAAAATAAATACATTACACACAAAAAAGTTGAACTTACTAATAATATTCATGGTTTCCCGGACATGTCATGTAAGGCAAAGTAGCTGTCAGGGATTCAACCTGATTCATAAACCTATCACCAACTCTAGCATTATCCTGCAGAGAAAGCAAAACATGACTACCTGGAACACAGAAACTCAAGAAAGCTGACAAAGATATTACCAACAAAGATCATAGATGGGTTATTAAATATAACAAGAACAAAAAAAAAATCCAACATGATAAATAATTAGACACATTGTCTCTTCTACATCAACAAATGATTCATGACAATTCCCGCCTAAGTGATGTGATTATCTATACAGATGGCTCTGTGTTGAGGGGCAGATGAGGTGCATGAGGGTTCATAGCAAAGACGAATGGAGGTCACTTACTGCAATAAAGCCTAGCATATGATATCACAATGTCTAGTTTGTGAATGGAGGTGGAGACAGTGCTGCCTTCCACTGGCTTGAGAATCAGCTGTATACACATGCCGTGATTGTCACTGACTCACAGAGCATGTTAAGTTAGGTGGAGACAGGTATGCACCGTGCAGAATAGCAAGCATCACTACAGAGGTCCTGGGTAGTTAGGATCCTTTGGATATTCTCTCCAGGTCATGCTGGTGTGTTAGGAAATGAGCCGGTTCTGCACAACTTGGTGGTTAATTGATGTATAATAAGCTAGACATTGTGAGGGTTCTCTGGGAGAGCGAGTGAACAGTGCGGAAACCCAAATAGATCATTATGGTCTGGGGAGAATGGCGCTGCGAAGAATTACCAGGGGATCTGGTCGACGCTCAACACTCAAGGGAAGGGCAAGACAGATATACAATGAAACAGTTACTGGTGCCATCGGAATTGGAACTCTTTGTTTGCTGCTGAAGATTGGGACAGAGCGCTTATGGGGATGTCCCGAGCTCTAATTCAGCATTCAACTCTTGCACATTAAAGTTAGGTCTTGGTCAGCTGTAACAGCTATCGCACGATAGCTAAAACCCATGGCCAACCACTAGTATCAACAGTTATAAGACAGAGAAGATGGGGCTATATTGGAAAACATTCTGAGGACAGACAAACATATATTCACCAAAGAGGCAAAGAAATGGGAAACAGAGGGACTGAGGAAATGAGTAAGTCCAAGAGAAACCGTAAGATAAAAACTGATGACAGAGGCCAAAGGTGCTGGACTGGATTGTATCCATCATATCGAAGTGATTGTATAGGACAGACTGGAGTGAAGAAATAGACTGCGAGCCCTATGTAACATGATTGCATAATGGGTCAGTGATTGAATGATTTTGTTCGTGTACAACCATTTTCCACTTTCTATTTTATGGATTTTCTCATTGTATATGTTACAGCTCTACCACTGTTCAACATATTTCATATCTGGTATTAAAAGCAATCAATGTCTCCACATCTGTACAAAGAAGGTTGGCTGCAATGGATTTCCAGCACCCGTGTGTCTCAGCTCTAGATTATATTCTATATGGATTTTCAATACTCTTTTGTCTCAGCATTAAATAAGTCTATATGGATTTGCAATACTCTTTTTTGGCTCAGCATTAAATAAGTCTATATGGATTTGCAATACTCTTTATTTAGTCTCAGCACTAGATAACATTCTATATGGATTTTCAAACACTCTTTATTCTCAGCAACATTCTATATTGATTTTCAAACACTTTTTAAGTCTCGGTCCTAGACTGCCTTCTTTCAGACTGCTGCTTGTCCAACGTTTGGAGTGTGGTGATAACATTGAGAGACAGATGAAGGATGTAGAGATGTCGTAGAGTGTATAACAAGATTAACAGAATGATGATGATCATTTCACTGTGGAGATTGGCAATTGACTGAAAGCTCACCTACACCTTATTTTCCAGTTATTTTCACCACATCTTAATGTTTCCCTCCACATGTAGCACTGTGTACCTCTTGCTGCCTTCAACTACTCCCACCAGTACTTAAATCTTTTTAAAAGAAGTGACAAAACAGGTAAGAGACAAGACTAATAAATCTAAACTTTTACTCACAGCTTGAAGGTCATAGGCAAAATCACCTGAAATGATAGCAAAAGTGCCAACTGTTATAATATTTACAAAAATTAGTATAAGCGTAAAAAGGATATCATATTTATATATGTGTAAGTTATACTCTTTTGTTCTCAAAATAGGCCTTAAAATTAGGCTGCATCTTCAAAATCATCGCTAAACTGAGCTTATGGTTTTAGGCCTATATTTTGTATCCACCAATTGACACTCAATGTGTAATGTTATCAACATAACACTATTGCATCCTGGTACCCATGTTCAACTGGGCTGACCTAGTAACCAAGGTAAATTATAAAAATCCTTCTTCGTGAAGATCCAAAACCCAAGACCAGGAAGACAGAAAAACCTCTAACCATTTCAATTCCTGGTGCTCCATTACCTACTATTAGTTTGTTGCGTATCCTTTACAGGACATTGCAGAACCAACCCCATAATTTTTTGGCTGTTGTGATTTTTCTAGGCTAATTTTACGTCCAGTAGTTTGCCACTGCTTTCTGGATGGTCAGCTTCTCGATACCACTGTCGAAACCAACGCAAGGCCCCCAGCTGAGATCGAACCGTGTTCGCATCGCCTAAGCCACAGACTCTGATTACCTACTATTACTGATGTAAAAAAAAATAAACCAACATACATACCAACATGGATGATGGCATCATACATGCCCTGGGCTGCATCCAACTCTAGGCGGGGTAGAGACTGAGCATTGGCACTTCCCAGATCTCCGATCACCACAAGGCTTGGGCCCCAGTCCTCTCCTGCAGGCATGGATTTGAAATAGAACACCGAGGACCATCCTTGTCCACTGCCAACTACATAATCTGTGTTGCAAAGGCAAAACAAAAAATGTTTTAAAGATCAGAACTACAAAAATGTTTTGTCAACTAAGAACCATGGCAATGTTTTGTCAACTAAGAACCTTCTTCTTCTTCGCGTTCACCAGCTGTACACTCTGGCGGGAAGTTCTGGTTGGTCAGAACCTGAGTGTTGCGTGGGCATCATTTTTACAGATCTGATTCACTTGAATGCAGACTGTTGGTTCCTTGCCTCTCAGGCAGATTCACTCCGACTTTAAAGGAAGCTCCCAATTGGTCGACTCTTACAACATACTTTTGGGCAGGCAGCTGGTCTATTCTTGTTTCCCCCACTATGGGGCCCCGGAACCCACATGGGGAAACTAAGAACCATGGCAATGTTTTGTCAACTAAGAAACATGGCAATGTTTTGAAAAAAGTCAGTTGGGTACCATTTATATAAGGCATGTCCAACTGAAGGTCTCCTGACAGCTATATGGGTCAAATTTTGCAATCATGAGTGCCACACACATAAAATTATTTGAATTTAAGAAACAATTATTGCAGAATATTTCCTTTGTTCAGGCTGCAGGTGTGCTCGCGAAGGGCACCATGCAGCCCCACCAGTTTGACATGTCTGCTTTACATAACGATGCAGACCCAACCCCTAGCATTTCTTGGCAGTTTGTGATTGCACTAGGCAATTTTAAAATTCTGTAGTTTGCCACTGCTTCCTGAATGTTTGGCTCGATACACTGTTGAAACCAACACAACATGATCTGCTGTGAAATCAACTGGGATCAAACCCGGCACTTCAGTATTACAAAGAGCGTCTGCAACCCCTAAGCCACATAGGCTGATAGCAATGTTTTATCAGCTACATAAGAAGTGTTTAAAAAATGTTTGAAATATGAACTGTGTCAATATTATATAGTGTAATCTTGGTATTCGCCTCTTTTCGTCTTTCCAGATGATACAGTTATCCTGGGCTATAAGAGAAGCATGAGAATACAAGGCCAAGGCAATGGTGTGACTTGCAAAATCCGCCTGCATTAAGAATTTTTTTCTCCAGTTACATTAGATCTGTCTTCAACTAATTAACTGCATTTCTATAAAGGGTAGAATTTCTTCAACTCCATCAGTTCACAATATTACAGGTCATCAAAGAACAACAAATGAAGTGGTTTGGACACCTAACAAGAATGTCCTGGTACTAACTGCCACAGCGAGCCACACTAAAATGTTACAATGGGTATAGAGTGAGTGGAAGACCTCGGAAAAGATGAAGTGATGGCATTGGGAACAACCTTACAGAAGTGAACATCAGTCTTAATAGAGCTGTTGACAGAGCTCACCAACGAACGTTACACCTCCCCTCAACACTTCAATGAGGTACAAGGTGGAAGAGAAGAAGAAGAAGTACACAATATATATAAAAGCAATTACACATTTAAATAAACACTGAGATGATAAGACAACTTGTAATCTCTAATCTAAAAAATTATTAAACAATCAGATATTCAGTATAAGTGTGTTTATAAATATACCATTGATACACACATTTCAGCTAAGTGGTTAAAAAAAGAAAGACCCATTAACCCAAAAACAGCCAGAGGACAAACAAGAAAATGTAAGTAGAAAAACTTACAGTACGTGGTGTTGGGGACCAAACCAGTGAGCTCAACTACATGGATGAACTGAGAGCGCTTCTCAGACCCGCCATCGATAAATTCGGAGCTGGAGCCCTGCTGGGACATGCTTAGATTTCTGGAGGACAAGCCATACAAAACTGCAGAAGCTGTGTCCTTGAAAGTACTCCATGTAATGATCATCTTTGATACATCATCTGTTTCAGACCATACAAGAAAATATTTAGAAACTGTAAAGGCTAGGATAGCTGACAGTCAGGTCCAATCTCTAGAATGAAATGCTCTTTAACACCCTCTTTCTTGTCTGAATGTCAGTTTGAACTTTATACTAGTAGAATAATATTATGCTCACATGAAATCAAATTTAAGGCCTCATTATACTAAAAAGATTCATACCCACACATTAAGGTGTATTAGGCATATAGGGCTAGAACTATATTTTAAAGACCAAATGGCACTTGGCAGGTGATGTGGTCAGCATCAGATCATCAGCCTTTACTTCCCAGGACTGTACCTGGTACCTATTTAAGGCTTGGTCGACCTGAGAGCAAAGACAATATAAAAATAAAAAAAAATCTAGCTCCCTCAGAACCTGAACCCGCGACCTTCCGATCCCTAAGCGAGCATCTAGGGGCTAAACCACGGCGGCCCTCATGTGTTTACAGACACACACATAAATTAAGAAGACACAAACAATTTATTGCCCAATTTACAGTGTGGCTTATTTCGCAGTATCTCCCCAGGTGTCAGCAATGTGAAATAGGTTAAGCAATAAATCGTGCAATAATGTTTGTGTCTTCTTTGTTCAAAGCTACAATGGGGAAACATTGCTCCCAATAATTAAAGTATAAAAGTATAGCAATGTAATTAAATATACATAGGTTATGGTTACCGTAAAATTGATATTACTGTTACCAGGCGAGCAAAAATATTTTTTATTAGCAATGTAAGAAATACATTAAATTAAGAACATTTTAAGCAAAAAATCCATGTCAATGGAGCACAGGAACATGCAGGCTCAAGTCCTTCGAGACCCCCCCCCCCTTTTTAAAGACGGTTAGGGGGAGTGGCTCAGCCCCCAGTAATTTTGTAAGGGGGCCAAGATACCCCCTTTTATTAGACATGTTCTTTAAAATTATTTACTTATACATTTCATATTATTATAAGTATCTTATTATATTTATTTGCCATTAATAATAATAATAATCTGCTGAATAGCAAATAAACATAATAACATGCTTAAAATAATATGAAAGGTATAAAAAAAATACTTTAGCAGATAACGTCTATACATCATATTAAGTGAAGACATCTTAACATGCTTGCAATATTTTGGACAAGAAGGCCCTCGGCCCTTCCTAAATTTTTTTTTTTTGGGGTGGCCGGGTAAGGGTCTGAGACGCCCCCTCCCAATATTTTGGAGTGAGGTGCCTAACGAATGAAATTTATTGTCATGCAAGCCCATCTTACATTCAGCATTTCAAAGCATTCATCTTCATATGGCAGCTGCATTTTATATATCAAGCATATTATGTTCATATATCAAAATTCATTGTATAAATGTAAATTCATAATACAGAGGCATGGATGACAAATGCATACCTTCAAATATACATGCAAAAATACTCACACAGTGCAGACACACACATCAGTTTTAGATACCCAGAGACGCGCACAGTAATCACAAACACACAACATAAACAGGCTTACACACATTCACAGACAAAACAAACACATACAAATAGAGACCCCCCCCCCCCCCCAAAAAAAAAAAAAAAAAAAAAACAGTCACAACATCTGCACAGAGAAGAGACAAACACAGAAAACATACACTGGCATACATACTCTTACAGATACAATACGTACACACAACCAACAGATACAAAAACAATACATACACACTGACTCAACACAAGCTCACTGTTCACAAACACAGTACAATTAGACACAATACACACAGAAACAAAACTTACCCACACACACTCTCTCAGACACAACAGTCACAGACACACCCTCATAGACACCATCAAAGGTGGTGTTCGTCCATCACGAGTGATGAAGACCACTGACATCCAAAGTAGTGATGTTCAATGATTATGAGTACGAAGGTGGCTAATTAGTCCAATATGATCCTGGAAAGTTTTTGAGCAGTGCAGACAACAGATGGAAACCGCACTAGGTGTGGGATTAGCAGTACGATTCTTTCTAGTCTGCCTCCATTTTTCTGCTGGTGCAACCTCCGCTGCCTGGCAGGCCGATGCATTATGTCTGAGGGACGATCACCATCCAGAACGTCCTTGTGCAGCGCCTCCTACGTCGCCGTGTTGATGTCAAAAGAATCAAGAGCAGTTTTCAGTGTCTCCTCATAGCGCTTTTTCTGACCTCCCTGGTACCTCTTTCCTTGCTGGATATCGCAATAAAATACTTTCTTTGGGAGGCTTTAGTCTGGCATGCGGGTTAGGTGACCAGCCCAACACAGCTGACAATTTTTCAGTATCGTGTGGGTTATAGGCAGGTTTGCCCTACCAAGAACCATAGTATTTGGGATCTTATCTTGCCATTTGATTTTGAGCAGCTTTCTGAGACAGGTTATATGAAACTGATTCAACATTTTAGCATGAATATTCAAAGGTAAGCACCTACTCACAGACACAATACACACAAACAACAATACACAGACACAACACACACATATATACAGCACTCAAACAGAAACAACCCTTACATACAGATAGCATTCACAGACAACACTCACACAAACATAATAGACTCATGAATGATAAATACACAGACACAACCACGGCCTTCTCTATTTAGAGATGGCGTTGGAAACAACAAACAGAGGAACACTCACAATATATACACTACACACAAACACAGCACACACACACAAATAAGGCCAAAACAAACACAAAGAAACAGCAGTTACACAGACGTAGCACTCACAAACACAACATTCAGAGATATAATACTTTCACACATAACATAACACACACAAACATAGCACTCACAGACACAACATACAGAGACACACGCATACACTGGACACAATAATTAAACAAACACACACTCACAGACACAACACATACAGAAAAAAACAATACACAGACATCACACTCACAAATGCAACACTCATAAATATACACAACACACACAGACACAAAACTCACACATGGCACAACCCTTACAAAGACACTACACTCACAAACACAATATTTATAGATATAACACTCCCACACACAACAAAATGCTCACAAACATAGTACTCCCAGACACAACAATTACACACAGACACTCCACACACATAAGAGGAAAAACACACACTGACTCACACAAATGTACAGACACATGTAAACACACTCACATACACAAAACATATACAGAAAGATCACAACACAGACACCACACTCAAACAGACACAACATTCACACACACATAAATATACACAATACACACACGGCACAACATTCACAGACACAACATACATACAAGACACAACACTCACAGACACAACACACACAGCACAATACTCACACAAGACACAACACAAATACAAAACAAAACTCACAGACAACACATTACACTCACAGACACAACAATCACACAAAGTTGACAAAAAGACAAAACTCACACAAGACATAACACTCACAGGCACACACAACACACACAGACACAAAACTCACAGACACAACACTCACAGACACAACACTCACAGACACAACACTTACACAACACACAGACACAACACTCCCACAAAAGACAACACACAAGTGACATGACACAAAACTCACACAAAACATAACACTCAGATATATAATTTTGTGATAGTTTGAACCTTAGATAGAAGTATTTCTGTAGATGTCTGGAACTCCCCCCCCCCCCCCCCCCCCCCGCCATCCTATCGACTGTTTTTGTTGTTGCTCTGGCTGTGAGGAGGATAGGTGCGGTTGTGAGAAGGATAGGTGAGCACACCCCACCCCATCCCTACAACTAATGCTCTTAATTTAGGAGGGAGCTCTCACCCCCCCCCCCCCCTCCCCCACTCCGAATTTTTTTTAGAGGAAACTGGACTTTTGTATCATGTGAATAGTGAATATGTTGTGACCACTGAAAGACCAAAGGAGAAGATTTTTGACAAATTAACAAACTGAGCTGATAGTATATGAGTATATGTCGTTGAAAATATCAGATTATGGAGTACACCCACGCCAATCGGCAAGGCACGTGATTATGATTATGTTGACAGAAAACCGACTAATGAACAATATAATTAGTAACGACTACAGCTTTTACTCACCTCCGTAAGCAATGTGGATTTGTTGTGGTTGCCTGTTGTTATCTGCTTCTATGACACCAGCCTCAGCGACGTTCATCAAGCAAAAAAATAATACAACTTTGACAACAAACGGAATATTTAAAGCCATGTTGGCTAAAACCAAGAACCGCCTCGCTCCGCGAAACAACACAAACTGATCAAATCTTCGAATCTACAAGTCAACGACTACAATCTTCCTTGTCCGTTGGTCACATCAGACGTGACCTGACCTATAAACTGGGTGAAACCATTCATAAATAAGTAATAGGGGTGATCTTATCAAAAAATGAGGTTGGCGTACTTGAGCTGTACGTTATCGAAACAGGTTCGCTCGATTAACTTAATTTCCTCTGATAGTTTGGACCTTGGATATTGGAGGTATTTGCTTTATCAGATAGCTTTTAACTTTTAAATATACGGGTGTTAAAAATCGTATGAACATAAACGCGCACACTTACAATGCGAGACACACAGACACTCTGGTAATCTGCACATTCTTGAATTTAAAAGTAGGAAATGTAACACCGCTTATTTACGTGCATTATTCGAGCACCTCTGTTAAACTTCAGATGGGTAATCCTTTATTTTCCACTGAAGATTGTATTCTCAAGGTGTCTGCAAGGTGTGGACTGTGCCTGGCTCTGCATCCAGCAGGGTTGGGGTCGGCTAGCTTCTCTTAGGAGAGGTGAAAAGTGAAAATTAGTAGCCTGCCGATGACCCACAGTACACATAAGTCAACCTCTCCTCCCAGTGGTGCAGACCGGGAAACTGTGGCCGTGAGGCCACAGGCGAACGAGGCTCTGGCTCGCCAGATGGGATGGGGTCCATCTGGTCAGATTTTCCCTTAAACTGCGACTGGCCTAGCAAGCCGGCAGTGGATTTTTTTATTGCTACGAAAATTAGAAAGGACAATCAACAAGACCCATGAAAGAAAAATAGAAGCCTGTGAAATGAAATGTCTAAGAAAAGCAGCGAACAAGACCAGACTAGACAGGATAAAGAATATAGACATTAGAAACACTGTCAAAACTACGCCATGTTTAGACTACATAGAACATCAAAGAATTAAATGGTTTGGACATCTAACCAGGATGAAAAATGATCAAATAACATCACAAATTTTCAACCAAAGAAGCTCAGGATATAAGGCAAGAGGAAGACCAAGGAAACGGTGGATTGACGGGGTCTCCGAAACCGGCCAAAAGCATGGCCTCAGAACATCAGATGCTGCCCGCCTTGCTTATGACAGGAACTTGCATCTCCCCACAACGCTTAGCGGCATACGAGGAAGGAAAAAGTAAGTAAAAGTAAGTAAGATTGTATTCTCATTCTCGCATTAGACCAAGATGGGTGGCGTTAGTTAGCGTTTATCTCTACAGTCACCTGTCTCATGTACTGTCAGTATTTCGGATTTAGATATTAACTCATGCTGTGATGGATTCAGACTAACATATTCTGCCTTGGTCATTCCCTCATATCTTGTATCCTCATTCGACGTTAAAATTATTTGAAATTGACCGGATACTAACTTTTGACAAGGTCTACTTTCATGTTTGAAAGTAACACGACTCATAAGACCAGCCCTCCTCCCCCTTCCCCACTCTGTAAAAAAATTATTTCCTACAGAAAAAAAAAGGCGATCGAAAAACGATTTTACACAAACCAAGTCCAAACTCCACACAATGAAAACTGCGACTGAAGACATAAGCTGCGGGCGGGGGTCAGTTAATGGAAAGTAGGTTGATGGAATATTTCCTTCGACGTTTCTCGTGTTTGTATAAGCAGCGACCTATCACATGCCATGCCACCCCCCCCCCCCTTTTCCTCGCATCAATACCCACTCCCCCACTCACACTTTCGTACGTCCCGATAACATCTGTTGCAACTGGCAAGTTGCCATGTTTGGATGTTAGGGTTATCTGTCCTTGTTCAACTTAACAAGAGTACTTAACCATAACTGAGGCGTTCAGTAAAGGGTTGAGAGTAGTAGCTTTTGAATCAGGCGATGTTTGATTTCCCCCGTCTTCTTATACTCCATGCCGTGTGGCATGGTTAGTTGTGTATCCTTTACAGGACGTTGCAGAACCAACCCCAGCAGCCCCTGGATGTTGTGTGGTTTCTCTAGGCAAATTTACGTGTTTGCCATTGCCCTGGTCGGTCGGTCCCCTGATACCACTGTCGAAACCAACGCAATGCGCATGGCCCAAGGCTGGGATTGAACCCGGCACCCAGGCTTTACGAAGCGTTCGCATTCGACAGAGCCGACGTGTGGCATGGTCGAGATGGAAAATATCGCGATAGCCTCTCCATTACCTGCTAAATGTTACACATGCGAACCGATCACGCCTCGCCACTGCAACGATATGAGCATTGTACCACCCAGAACCACTGACATATTTTGAATGTTGAATGAAGAATCAATACCGTAGCTCTCGGGGCACTCCCATTAGCGCCCCGTCCCAATCTTCAGCAGCAAGCGAAGAGCTCTAGTTTCGATGGTACAGGTAACTGTCTAATTGTACATCCGTCTTGCTTTTCCCTTGAGTTTTGAGCGTATACCTCACATAATCTAGCTTGTCACAAATTAGTTCACCACTAAGTGGTCAGAACCGGTCCTTCTATCTACCTGCTCGTTTCCTAACACACGAGCATCACCCGGAGAAAATATGCACAGGACGCTAACTATCTGGGATATCTGAAGCGAAGCTTGCCACTCTGCACAAAGCATGCCTGTCTTCACCTTTCTCAAAATACTCTGTGAGTCCGTTAGAATCACGACATGAGTGTGCAGCTGATTCTCAAGGAAGCGGAAGGCAGCAGTGACTGTCTTCACCTCCATTCTCAAACTAGACGGTGTGATATCACATGCCAGACTTTGTTGCACAAACCACTGACAAACTGCCTAATAAAACCACACGTGGCTGGTGTGCGATGTCCTGTAAACAACATTTAACTAACACAACTAGAGAATATGCCATTTGAAAGCACAGGGGTTATATCAACATTGACAAATGACTTCTTTGCCTGCCAAAGCTTTTTATGGCTAGTATTCATTTTCTGTGTTCACACGTGTGTCATAGCTTCAACTGGCCAGTTAGACATGTGGAGTTTTCTCAGAGATACCTCGGTTAAGTGATGTCTGGTATTTTTGTTCGCACCCCTGACATTGACCGTTCATGTAATGTGCAGACAAAGGCAATTTGATTTTGAAGGTTTGTGACTTAATAATATGCAGCTGACTAGTTCTATGTTTCGTTTAGTTTGATATCTTTTCTCAAATAATGACAGCCTCTTAATGCAGGAACAAGTACACTCGACCTACGACCAAACATACACCCCCCTCCCCCTTTCCATTAAAAAAAGTATTTTCAGTCGACAGAGCAAACTTCATTTTCAGAGCCGCCGTACTGAAGCGGCTGGACGCTCGCCTACGGATCAGAAGGTCCTAGGTTCAAATCCGGACGCTGCTGGATTTTTTCTTTAAAACAAAATGACCTCTGTTCCCAGGTCGACCCAGCCTTAGATTGGTACCAGATTCAAGTCCTGGTAAGTAAAAGCGGCCGGCGTGATGCTGATCACAATACCCACTATATGCCCAATACGCCTAATCGCATGGAAAAGGGTTCTATAAAGGTGACGGGAGTGATGTTGACAACGTCATCTGTCAAGTTTTAAATTATAGGTCTAGTTCATTATGCCTGATGCGTCAATGGAGAAAAGTTTCCTTTTGTCTAGTTGACTTGACTTTAGTACTTGAGGGTAAGGTTAAACGCAGATGGGATGAGAAGTCAACAAGCAGCAGAAGGACTGGTAAGAAGATCTTTCCTTTCACCATCATGAAAAAATACAGATATATGGAAAACCATTGGATTCGACCTTCGTTTTGGGGATTGCAGCTTATCTTACTATCGCGAAGATGAAATATTGAGACTCCCCGTGTGGGTTCCGGAGCCCTATTGTGGGGGAAAACAAGAATAGACCCACTGCTTACCCAAAAGCATGTCGTAAGAGTCAACTAACTTGGAAGCTTCCTTTGAAGTCGGAGTGTATCTGCCTGAGAGGCAAGGAACCAGCAGACTGCATTCAATTGAATCAGATCTGTAAAACTGATGCACACGCAACACTCAGGTTCTGGAGCAGGACTGCAGCCCAGAAGTGGACGAACAACCAGAACTTTACGCCAGAGTTTACAGCTGGTGAACGCGAAGAAGAAGAAAGAAATATTGAGACAACATACATCATTTTGTTATGAATTTACTTCAGAAAAATGATTAAAAATTTTCCGAGTTAAAGGACTTTGGCTTCCTGGTCGACCTATTCTTAAATAGAGAACACTTCTGGGAAGTAAAAGCGGCCGGCATTTTGTCGACCACATCACCCACTGAGTGCTGGTTGTTCTGTTCAATTTAGGTTTAGCACTATATGCCCATTGCCTGGCCAGAATAGAAGGGAATAGACTCTAACACACGATAGAGGACACAAGAGCAAGATAATAAGGAGACCCAATTAGATAGAGGATGACCCATGAGAAAAACAATAGGAAAATAAGGACAAAAGGAACCTATGGGGACTATACAGGAAGGCGCGGTCTGCCTGTGAGGACAGACACATTAGGCCAGAGAATCTTAGCCACGAACGTGGCAAAAATAAACCATACCACAAATAAAACCTGAGCCTGTTGGCACTTCGCTGCCAACAGCAGGTTGAACCTGGTTGTTATTTTTTTTTCTCCCCAGAACGGAATCTGATATGTGCCCAATATCCTGAAGATGCGAAAAGGTGTCATTTAATTTTACTTTAATGTGTGCGAGTTTGCTCCCCAATCAGGAACAGCTAGTGTGTAAGGTGGGGAGATTATCGTGGATCATACCCTATCCTGTACACTTAAAACAACCTCAGCTGCACAGTTTAGCTGACCTACTAAAAGTGGGTTAGTTCCACAACAATCTCCCCACGTTACACATTAGCTCGCTCTGATTGGTCGACCTCCAGTCACCCCACCTTTGTACACTGCTAGGGGGGTGTTCGGCAATGCGTTGATATCGTGTGTTGTATATTTAAGCACGCCAGATACTACAAAACATTTAGAAACTGCGTCTAACCCACAACCCCTCTAGAGAGTGCAAGACAAGCCAGAAAGCAAACAACACAACCGTAACCCACCGGACAGCAAAACGAGCCTTAAAAATATATAAATGGAACGTGACCTGGTTAGGCTGGGGAGATTATAGTGGATCTCACCTAAAAGTGTGAAGGAAAAGGAAACCCTAGCCCTCTTAGTCAAAATGACACATTTTATTCTGTCTAGAAAACTTGGACTACAATTACAAATAACGTTGTTCTCAGTTTTCTGAACGTATACATACTGCGCCCCCCCCCCTTTTTTTTTCCTCCAACGAAGGAACGAATTTACCGGGGGAGGGGGTGTAAAGGGGTGTTTAAATCATACCTTAAAGAGGGTCAGAAATTACAATAACCACGTCACTGGGTACTTTAATTTTAGTCGACTCCCATCGCGTCGGCTCCGAGATTTCGTAGGGAATTCCTTTGGATTTTTCTAGACAGTACAATACGGGGAAAGGGTAGGGTTAGTGTGAAATGAATAGCGACTACCAACTAACCCTAACCCCACCCCCCCCCACCCATACTATGCGACGTTCTGGTGGTTTCCTTACCAAATCTCGAAGCCGACGACATGGGGTCCTAAAACTTAAAGTACCTGGCATGTTCTTGTGACCCATGACTATTGTTGTTAAGGATGTCAAGAGTGTTAAGCACATGACATCATGGTGCAGATGAAAACAGGGACGTCATAATGATACTCCTAAGATGGCAATACAACTTTTGACATGCACCAAAAAGGAACAGCATTCTATTATCCTATTTTTGGTCATTGAAAGTGTGAAACTTCTAGAAATTCATCGGTGAATACAAGTCCAGTATAGTGATGCATGCCTGCCAGTCCATCAAGTATATGGGTGGAGTAAGGAAGTTTCAAAATGACGTGACTTCTGTGACAAACTTCACGACTGGGTTAGGCACAGTCTGTCACAAAGGGCACGCTGTTTTGAAACTTTCTACTCCCTCATACATTTGAGGATTGACAGACGTGCATGCTTCATTAAACTGGACCTTCACAGAACAGTCAGAAATGTACGTAATATCAATTAAATAACCAGTTGTATTGTTTAAACATCTTTATCGAGTGTGAATGGTGTGATTTCCAAGAAGTTACTAAGTTTTTAGGTTATTGTTTGTGTTTGTTGTGTGCTATCTGAGTTGCACACCAATCAGCACACTTCCAAGTGTCCAGACGGAATAAACAGTCGCTCCCTCTCACTCGATGCAGGACTCGACGACAGTAGTTCCGTCATACACGGGGTTTATTTGACAGAACACAAGAGGGTATACACAAGCTCTCACATAAACAAAACTGCAGAGACGTAGACATTGAACCCAATTAACATTGGCACATAGTCCAATTAGTCCTCACTCACGCTCTCTCTCTCTCAATTTGTAGTGACCTCTCCCTGACCACTACAGCTCCAAAGGTCTACAGCATCCCACAACTCTGGGCACGCTATACAGCTGAACAGGACGAATTCTCCTATCCACTGGACCTTGATATTATTTCAGCAGACAACCACGGCTGACTGGAGACGGACTTCCCTTACCGTTCTCGGAAAGCACACAGCACGTCAGCCTGTCGAAGGATTACGATGACCGACAGGACTTCTAACACAAGTCCCCTCTAGCACACAGCTCTCGTCGGCATCCCCACTGTTATGTTTCCTTAGTGACCCTACGTCTCCTCGCGTCGTCACCCAGAACACAGTTACTATTGGAGCATTCCGTCCCCTTGGACTTACTTCGCCAACGGGACTATACCTTCGACCAGTATCGCAACCCTTACTCAGACCTTGATGCCTAATAGTTGTACGGTACTCTGTCTGTCTTCCCAGAGAGGGATAATAACTGACCCTGACTTGGTCTCTCTCTCTCTCTCTCTCTCTCTCTCTCTCTCTCTCTCTCTCTCTCTCTCTCTCTCTTGTTCTGACTCTCGGACTCGGACTGACTACTCAGTCCCAATTTATCCCTGTCAAACTCATGTGACACAATACCATACAAAGCATACATGGAATGAGAAGAAGGACGTAGAGCACGGGGTAGACCAAGAACAAGATGGAAGGATAACATCAGAGAAACTCTACAATAGCACGATGTGCCTATGGTCGAGGCAGCCAGAAGAGCTAGAAACAGAACCTTATATCTCGCCTCGACACCCACAGCGGTAAAAGAGGAAGTGAAGAAGAAGAAGAAGAAACTCATGTGAGCGGATGATGTTTACACGAGAGGCACGCTCGTGTGGGCGTTCTCGGGAATCATGCTCATGTGGGCGTTCTCGAGACTCACACTCATCTGGGTGTTCTCGAGGATCACGCTTATGTGGGTGGCTGATGTTACATGAGAATCACACTGTCACGTAATTCACACTTACTCTGTTCTCCTCGTTACCCATGCTTGTCAGCTCCCACACAGTAAACCCTCGCGTCTACCTCTTCGTGCGTGCACGCCTCGTTCATGATAATACATGTTCACTGGTCAACATTCTCTCTCCCTCACTACTCGGGCCAATTTTGACACTAATCCCCGTGAACTCACAGAAGCTACTATCATAACACTCTGTCCCTTCACACACTATTACACTCTCCCAAATCAGTACGCATCAGTGTTATTTACATTTGTAATGTTCGCTCTTGTGTATTTTGTGTTCTATAATACTACTGAGGGGTTTTGATAAACAGTTTGACATTTAATAGTTTACTATTATTGACTGAACGTCAAAATTACCGTGAAACTGTCCGCTGTCACATCGCCCGCAGCTGACTTCAAAACTCCAGTATGTATGGATTGTGAACTGGCTTTCGTAACTCCTAGGCCACGGACGACAAAGAGTGTGCTCTACAGTTAGATTCTTCTTGTTCATAGAGGGCAGTGTCTCTCCACCTTCCTAATGCGGCGACGCTTCAATACAGTTCTTCATATTGTGGTGACCCTCATGCATATAATTATTTTTGTTGCTACTTCATAACTTCAGTGAATATGTGTTTTAAGATGGTCTAAGCGACCCTGTGAAAGGGTTGTTCGACACAACAGTGGATCGTGACCGACAGGTTGAGAACCGTTGATATGGGGCGACACGGTAGTGTGTGGAGTTGATGAAAATTTTGACAAACATCTTAGTGATATTATAGACATCAATAATATACAACAACTTGAACTCTCAGCACTCTTCTTTACGACCTTGAAACTTGGTCGACTTATTTCGTACTAGGTGAAACGATTGAAATGGTATGATAGAATCACTAATGTACAGCTTTGAAAGAGAACTAAATAGTTTCAAGGGGACCAAGAGGTGAAGAAAAGACGCTGGCGTTGAGTATGAGACACGTTGAGAAAACCTGAGAACAATATAATTAGAATGTCTTTGCACTGGAACCCACAGACGCATAGAAATAAAGGAAGACCCCCCCCCCCAATCCCTCCCAAAATAACATGTAAAAGAGAGATAGAGGGCGAAGTTAAAAAGACGAGGTGGACATGGTACGACTTGGCGTGATTTGTTTGAGGGCTGCTCCATTGGAGGCTAGAAACACAGAAGAAAGAAGAAACGATTAAATAACTTTCACCTCAGGCATGGCGCATCGGAGGTTGCACAGGCAGAGAAACGGAGGTAGACTAGAAAAAATCGTAGTGTTAATCCCACACTTACTGCGGCTTCCATCTGTTGTCCGCACTGCCCAAGAACTTTCGAGGCTCATATTGGTCTAATCAGCCACCTTGTACTCATAATCACTGATCTTTGGATTAAAGTGGTCTTCATCACTCGTGATGGAACGAACAACAACACTTGGCATTAAGTGACAAGATCACAAACACTGAGGTACTGGAAAAAGCCCGAATCACAGCATTTATCTAAATGTTTCTGAAGGCTCAGATCGCTAGGTTACGTATCAGGATGGATGACTGTAGAGTCCATAAGGCAAGAACATCCTCTTTGGTGATTTACAAATAGGTGAAAACTAGACCTTCTTAAGATATAAGAAGTAAATCTGGTATCTTTTTAATCAGTTAACTCTTTAACTCTTTTAGTCTCAAACATAATGTGATGCGCAACAGTCACAGCTGTGAATCCCACTCAACAAGTAATATATTCAAGTCCTTCCATAGATGGTCACCGTATTTTAAGAAAACTGGCTTCCCTAGTACATTTAGCGACTTTGAAGACAATACACAGGTGGCTTCTCCTATTGGTTATTTATACAAAATCTGCTGGTACTCAAGGAGTCCAAGTTCCACGCAGATGTTAGCTTTTAAAGCTTCTTCTGTCTCAAGGAGTTGAGCTTAAAAGCCAATACATATTTTGATTTGGCTGAACAGAAGTAGTTAAGCTAATAATTTAGGCACAAAGGAGTCCTTACAACACATAACTGTAGTATAAGACAGTAAAAATATCAAATTATATTCCGAACTGCAAAGAAACGCACCGTGAATTGTCTGATATTTAAAAAAAGTTAATCAGTTAATATTAAAATCAGTTCCAACTTTACAGCAAACGGATCACCCCAGAGTTGCCTCGTTTTGTGCCAGCAAAAACAACACAAAATATCTATTGCTGTAGGTTGCAGTCTCGGCGAAGCCAACGGAGAACACACACATTTTAAATGCATAAGGCAGCCAGTAGAAGTGCCAACAGAAAAATTATGCCACTAGAATTGCAGATCATCGATGGAAGCAGCAGTTACAGCTAAACAGTAGCTGCACGCACAGTATTCCATCAAGGAATCACATGATGGTTTTAATTCTAGGCTGGGTTAACCTGGCAGTCAAGTTTTGAAAGAAAAAAATCCGCTAGATGGCGGATATGAACCCATGGCCTTCTGGTTGGTAGGCTAGCATAAAGCCGCTACGCTACGACAGTTCCCATGTGCCGTTAGAGTTGCATATATTTAGGTCTTCTAAAGACGTTGCTGTCATGTTTGACTTTAGAGTGTGCTCCATACGAAGAACCGGATCCTCGATTTCCAACTGTCACAATTTTCTCAGACACAGACTCAGAACCGAGTCTGACTTTTGTCTTACTAGAAAATGGCGCTGAGTTATCACCATAAAGTTCAGTCTTTTGTCTGGACATCTTCTGTGATTGCTTTTCACCGCTGAACATTTCAACTAAATTGAAACTGCGTCCTTGTTTTATGGGAGGAAGGAAAGCGAAGTCTGAATCCCTCCTTCTAGAGTCACTAATAGTTGGTGAGGGTTTCCTATGTCTTTGTCTATACTGGCTATAGTTGCTGGTTATATAACTGGTGCCATGTTGAGGTTTGTCCAACTGTAGAATGCGTAGTCGTTCATCTCGCTTGTTTATTTCTTTCATCTCCTGCCTTTTGCATTCTTCCCTGTTCTTAATTATGCGATTTCGAACAGCGCTCGCCAGTTCCCTGTTGAGAGAAACAATCAAATGCATTTGAAACCGTGACAGTTTTGTTGTTGTTTAATCTCCCTCTCTGTTTATACATATGCAAATTTCTCTATAATATCACTTTAATTCTGCCTTGCTCGCCCTCTCTCCTTCCTTCTCCCTAATTCCCACTGTAAAACCATCTCCTCCTTTCCCACCTTTCCCCTCTTCTCTTCCATTCCCCATCTTTCCGCCTTTCTTCTGCCTCTTTTCCTGTATACCCTCCCTCCTAGTTCTTTCTTACTGCATTCCCGCCTCTTTTCCCCCTCGGCCCTCAAGTTCACAATTCCTCCCTATCCGACGCCGATCGATCCATTCAGCCATCTATAATCCACCCTCTGTCTGTCTGTCTGTCTGTCTGTCTGTCTGTCTGTCTGTCTGTCTGTCTGTCTGTCTGTCTGTCTGTCTGTCTGTCTGTCTGTCTGTCTGTCTGTCTGTCTGTCTGTCTGTCTGTCTGTCTGTCTGTCTGTCTGTCTGTCTGTCTGTCTGTCTGTCTGTCTGTCTGTCTGTCTGTCTGTCTGTCTGTTTTTCTATCTCTATCTCTATCTCTATCTCTGTCGCTCTCTCTCTGTCTCTCACTCTGTCTCTTTCTCTATCTCTCTCTCTGTCTCTCCCTCTGTCCCTCTGTCTGTCTGTCTGTCTGTCTGTCTGTCTGTCTGTCTGTCTGTCTGTCTGTCTGTCTGTCTGTCTGTCTGTCTGTCTGTCTGTCTGTCTGTCTGTCTGTCTGTCTGTCTGTCTGTCTGTCTGTCTGTCTGTTTACCAGCCTATCTACACGTGACAGACTATCTGCCTCTGTCTATCGGTTTGTCTCTATCTATCTGCCTTCTGTCTCATCTGTCTATCTGTATGTGCCAGATTTTCTATTTGTCTATCTGTTTACCAACCTATCTGTATGTGGTAGACTGTATTTCTCTCGGTTTACCAGCCTATCTGTTTGTGTCAGACTGATTGTCTAGTGATTAGTGATTAGAAAGGATTATCATCACAGAACTCCAAACTGATCCATGGGTTCTCCGATCTCTTCCTCAAACGCTCCACAAGTGTAAAACGACTGATGACCCCAGTTCTGTGTTGTTTAATGAAAAGTCTTGTCCCCTTAGCGAAATGTTCATTTCTTGCAGCTTCAGGCTGCACCGTGTCCATCAGTCTAGACAGGGATACGGTGTCGTCCTTTGACGTGCTCCTCAGTACGGTAAGTGCAGCGTTTGGCATTGATAACATCACTTCTGTCTAGTACTGGACCAGTCATAGTGAAACAGGCGCTGGACGACTGTTATATAAATTGAATTAGGCTTATTTAAGCGAGCTAAAAAGCTGGCCAACTTGGGGTCAGGAAGTGATAAAACAGATGGGAGTGTTCAGTTTGCCCTCTTAGGCCCCTGGTGTTCGGACGAGAAACATGTAGTTCTGATTTGTCCGGTGCGTTCAATGGTTTTACGCAACGTGGGTTGAGATGTGTAGGCAAAGATGGGTTCCATCTGTTGTAGGGTATTTTCTAACACGTTGTGTATTGTAATGCATTATTATTTGTGAAGACCTTAGATGATGTTCAGTTAAATAAATAGATGTGAATGTGATAATTATAGTTCCAGTTGCTTTGCATAAGATTAGGGCTTGTGGTTAGTGTGTGTAGTTAATTTATTTGTTGCCTGGCTTATTAGACTTTACACAGAAGATCTCGTGTCTGGACTAGATTATTCCTGTTTCTAGTCCCCACCTAAGGAACTATTTTCCTTTATTTTTTTTTCTCGGTACTTAGGGCTTCTCCGTCCTAGTACAATAGCAACCGCAATGTCAGCAAGATAGTCTGCACGCTCGTTCCCTTGAATACCAGGATTATTTGGCACAGCTATTCGTGAAGCGCTTAGTGTTTCCTGATAAATTCTTGCCTGATAAATTAATCTTGGATTTGTTTAAGCATATTCATCGAGTCACTAAGAATGCATACGTGTGTGAAATTGTGAGTACCAAGCGATGCTAATGCCATTGTTCCAGAAGTAGTTTCCATAGACTGTCTCCGGGAAAGGCAACCAGGTTAACACATGCCTGCAGAAGTCGGATGTGTCGGCCGAAAGGCCCAGATATCGCAGCCATGGCGTAAACGGGCACAACGCAGTTACATTTTGGAGTGAAGAAGAAGTCTGTCTACTAGCTTGCCTGTCAGCCGGTTATCTGTCTGTGTCAGACTGTAAACGGGCACGACGCAATTACATTTTGGGGTGAAGAAGAAGTCTGTCTACTAGCTTGCCTGTCTGCCAGGTTATCTGTCTGTGTCAGACTGTCTCTCTGTCTACCAACTTGTCTGTCGGTGTCAGTCTGTCTCTCTGTGTCAGACTGTCTGTCTACCAGCATGTCTGTCTATATCAGACTGTCTGTCTGTGTACCAGCTTGTCTGTCTGTATCAGGCTGTCTGCCTGTCTATTAGCTTGTCTGTATCAGACTCACTCACTTGTAACTGATCTCCCCACGCTTGTTTGACCGCAGGCGGCTTGCCACCAGCAGAAGATCGGCGTCCTCCAGCGGTACACGAACTCTCTGGTTAAAAAATGAAACAAATTATTTCCTGCAATCGAATTTTAGCACACTCACCTGCTACTCTAGATAAGTGGTTGGGTTTTGAGTTCAAATCCTCACAACAGGGTCGGATTTAGAGGCCCTAGGCAATATAAAATCTGGAGGCCCATATTGTTTTAAATAATCCTCACCCCAAAATTGTATGTCATTTCTTTGTTATGTCAAAGCCCCACCCTGGCTGTATGAATGTATGTAAGTTGTACGCCACCAAAATATCACACAAGCGATAAACACCCGGTGACACAAAGTGCCACCATGCGGATGAGGATTCCCCGCGGAAAGGTTCCCCAAACCCAGTTTAACGTTAGGTCATATTTCAGGCCCGGTTATATTTAGGGCTCCCGGCAAAAGCCAGGGTGGGGCTTCAACTAGAAAAATTGCATCCCACAAAGGAATGACGAGACTGATGAATATCCCTATCTGTAATCGAGGGCCCTAATATAACCTAACGGTTGAACGGGGTTTCTAGGACATGTTCTCGGGGAGATTGTCCTCCGAATAGTGACACTTTGCGTCACCCGGGGTTTATCTCTCGTTGTGTGGTTCTAGTTGGTTTTGAATGCCACTTTACTGTTTCAAATGACACCAACTAATCTCAGAAATATTTTTAATATATGCACCATTTAAATATATAGATGATCGACATATATTGTCGAGCAATTCTTTTGGGTAAAAGAAATAATAAAGAATTGTCTGCAAAATTACATAAATTAAATTTTATAATCCTTTAATATAATTTTTTTTTTAATATTTCACCTGAGATTTCAAAATCTAGATATTTCTATATATTATTTATTTCCTTTCTGGATTTTTTTTTCTTCGCAAAAAAAGTGGCCGAGAGGTGGTCTTGATATATGGACATATGTCAACTATTTGATGGCCGCAGTACGCAGGAGAGCTTAGTACTCTGTACTTGGAGGGAAAGTTCTCAATTATCTTTGTGAAATTATTGATCAGACCACCGCCAGTTCCAAAAAGGCTGTGTCAGGATGTGGATAGCGCCTTCCAAAGAAGGCGGTGGTTCAGACGTAGTGGACCATGTCCAAAGACTGCCATTGTTTGTGGCCGGAAACTTGTATTTCGAAGTTCTGCTCGAAGTAACATGTACTGCCTAATCGGATAAATAGATTGTTCAGATGAAAATATTTACACTGCTAAAAGTCAAAGATCATTGACACATGAAACTCATTACATTAGTCATACACATGTGAGAAACCGTTGCTAGTAGAAGCCATCGTTTCGTCTTTCAAACATGTTTTTATCAGCTGATACAATTTCAATCACTATACAGTTTTGGCGTTTCTGCCTATTGTTGTCCCCCCCCCCCACCCCCGCCCCCCAAAATAGCACTTTTCCCCATCTCACCCCGGCTGTTAGGGGCTACAAACATGCAATAGGAATTTACTACATTTTCTATCACTTGACTGAAGCTATACCTGAAGTCCTTGAACGAACTTTTCCTTAGTAATGAAGAGGTCATTATTCTTGTCAAACATCCGGAAAAGGTCAACAACTCTGATGCCCATGAGACTGAGGTAGCGAATGAGCAGAACAAAAGGGTCGTCCCGGCGCGCTGGAAGCAAAAGAAGCACCAGCTTTGCGATGGCCTTAGGTCTTCAAAAGCCAGTTTCACAGTAAGAAAGTAAAAAGGACACATTTTTTTTTAGACCAGTATACTCGACGGAGGATGTTTAAAAAAAAAAAAATTATTTCCCCTCAAGGGTTGCAGTATGTTGGATCAACATCTCAAAAATGAGAATCACACTTTAATTTGTTTGATTATACAAATGATGTCAAGTGAAACTCATTTGATCTGCCACATTTGAATAAAAGACTTCTTTTTGTCTGACAAATGTTTATACAAAAAGCATTTATGAGCACGCCCCTGTATTTACCCGAGATTCAGCACAAATTAGAGTACTTTATTTTTTATTCACCCACAAACAATGAAAATTCCTCAGTTTCGGTGAAAGTCCAGTATGCTATGGTTGTTGTGAGTTAGGATTAGGTCTTGTCAACCCAGACCTCCTCAGATACACAGACCAACCCTAACTCTAACCCTAACTCGAACCCAAACTCTAACCCCAACTCTAACTATAACCCCAACCCTGACTCCAACCCCAACCCTGACTCCAACCCCAACCCTAACTCTAACTCTAACCCCAACTCTAACTCTAACTCTAACCCCAACCCTAACTCTAACCCCAACCCTAACTCTAACCCCAAACCTAACTCTAACCCCAACCCTAACTCTAACCTCAACCTTAACTTTAACCCTAACCCGTAACACCCCTAGATTATTGGATTTTCCTTGGGACTCCGGGATTTCCTTTGTTTGGGGCGAATTAAAAATAAAGTACAAAATGAAAGTCATATGGTAGTGTTTTATTCTACCGCTACTTTTTCAGCTATTGTTTTTAGAACGATCCCTTTTACAACAAAAAACAATTCCTACTACTCTAACTGCTGCAATTACTACTGTTACTGCTGCAATTACTACTGTTACTGCTGCAATTACTACTGTTACTGCTGCAATTACTACTGTTACTGCTGCAATTACTACTGTCACTACTGCAATTACTACTGTCACTGCTGCAATTACTACTGTTACTGCTGCAATTACTACTGTTACTGCTGCAATTACTACTGTTACTGCTGCAATTACTACTGTTACTGCTGCAATTACTACTGTTACTGCTGCAATTACTACTGTTACTGCTGCAATTACTACTGTTACTGCTGCAATTACTACTGTCACTGCTGCAATTACTACTGTCACTGCTGCAATTACTACTGTCACTGCTACAATTACTACTGTCACTGCTACAATTACTACTGTCACTGCTGCAATTCTTACTGTCACTGCTGCAATTACTACTGTCACTGCTGCAATTACTACTGTCACTGCTGCAATTACTACTGTCACTGCTGCAATTACTACTGTCACTGCTGCAATTACTACTGTCACTGCTGCAATTACTACTGTCACTGCTGCAATTACTACTGCTACTGCTGCAATTACTACTGCTACTGCTGCAATTACTACTGTTACGGCTGCAATTACTACTGTTACGGCTGCAATTACTACTGTTACGGCTGCAATTACTACTGTTACGGCTGCAATTACTACTGTTACTGCTGCAATTACTACTGTTACTGCTGCAATTACTACTGTTACTGCTGCAATTACTACTGTTACTGCTGCAATTACTACTGTTACTGCTGCAATTACTACTGTTACTGCTGCAATTACTACTGTCACTGCTGCAATTACTACTGTCACTGCTGCAATTACTACTGTTACTGCTGCAATTACTATTGTTACTGCTGCAATTACTACTGTTACTGCTGCAATTACTACTGTTACTGCTGCAATTACTACTGTTACTGCTGCAATTACTACTGTTACTGCTGCAATTACTACTGTTACTGCTGATACACTCGACCATCAAAGGTTCAACATCTCAAGGATCACCTTTACAAAGATGATATCATCGTCAACGTCGACATTATCGCCATCATCGTCGTCATCATCATCATCGTCATCCTCCTCCTCCTCATCATCGTCATCATGATCACTTTTATCATCCTCATCGTCATCATCATCGTAATACTCATCAACATTATTATAATCATCGTCATTATCCTCATCGTCATACTCATCAACATCGTCATAATTGTCATCATCCTTAACATCATCATAATCATCGCCATCCTTTTCGTCAATCATTGTCATCCTCATCAACGCGTCATAATTATCGCCATCGTCGTCTTCATCGTCATACTCGTCAAATCATTAGTCATTATCATGGTCATCATCTTCATTATCATCGTCCTCATTATCATCGTCATCATCATTAACTTTGTCATCATCAGCATCCGGTTCCGTTGTTATACATTACGTAGAGCTCGAAGTTTATTATTTCATTCTCTTCAGACATGTGTAACGGTCACTTACAATTAAATATTACACATCAGTGACAACGAGCAAGCCGGACATTTCAGAGATAGTAAACATATATAAAACGCACGTCTCTGGAAGCCGATAACGTCCCTTGTGTTCAGGATCCCCCCGTGCTGCAGGGTGAACTCTCTGTGTTTAGCAATGTCTGATGCCTTCAGTGCGATCTTGGTGTTAATGGGGATATCCTGGGGAATAATCAAACAATCAGTCAGTCGATCAATCAATTAATCAATCGACAAACGATCTATCCAGCGACAAATTTTGGTATAAGCTATTAGGTATAATTATGGGTCTCACAATCTGCAGTGGCCTAAAAATTTCCTTTTTTGATTGTATTATCAATAACATAATCAATAACATAATCAATTATTTAACATTAAAAACAAGTTCTAAGTTGTAAAAAAGAGCATTTTAGAGGATTATTAGATATAGTTTATGTGGTTTTGCAAATACATTCTTTATTATTTCTTTTAATAATAGTTAAACGACAATATATTTTCCTTATCCATATATTTAAATTGCTTATATATGTTAAAATTTTCTGAGGTTAGCTGGCGTAATTTACAACTGTAGGGGCCTGAGTGCTTTAGATAGCTTAGGCCCTCATCAAGTCTTAATTTGGCCTTGGAACTATCGTATCTTTCACCTGTCCGCCGGTCCGTCCGTCCGTCTGTCTGTCTGTCCGTCTGTCTGTCCATCTGTCTGTCCGTCTGTCTGTCTGTCCGTCTGTCTGTCCGTCTGTCTGTCCGTCTGTCTGTCCGTCTGTCTGTCCATCTGTCTGTCCATCTGTCTGTCCGTCTGCCCGTCTGTCCGTCTGTCCGTCTGTCCGTCTGTCCATCTGTCCATCCGTCCATCCGTCCATCCGTCCATCCGTCCGTCCGTCTGTCCGTCTGTCCGTCTGTCCGTCTGTCCGTCTGTCCGTCCGTCCGTCCGTCCGTCCGTCCGTCCGTCCGTCCGTCTGTCCGTCTGTCCGTCTGTCCGTCTGCCCGTCTGTCCGTCTGCCCGTCTGCCCGTCCGTCTGTCTGTCCGTCTGTCCGTCTGTCTGTCTGTCTGTCTGTCTGTCTGTCTGTCTGTCTGTCTGTCTGTCTGTCTGTCTGTCTGTCTGTCTGTCTGTCTGTCTGTCTGTCTGTCTGTCTGTCTGTCTGTCTGTCTGTCTGTCTGTCTGTCTGTCTGTCTGTCTGTCTGCCTGCCTGCCTGCCTGCCTGCCTGCCTGCCTGCCTGCCTGCCTGCCTGCCTGCCTGCCTGCCTGCCTGTCTGTCTGTCTGTCTGTCTGTCTGTCTGTCTGTCTGTCTGTCTGTCTGTCTGTCTGTCTGTCTGTCTGTCTGTCTGTCTGTCTGTCTAATTTTTGCCAGAATTACCGTTTGTGCTACAATACAAATTATTTGTAACAGCCACACATACATCCAGTACAATGTTGATCACATCGTCCATCAACTGGTGACTGGTCTTCACAAATGTTGTCCTAGTACAATTTGACGAAAGCAGTCAGGTGCCGGAAAGTGAATGTCTTTTGGATATTGTCTCCAGAGAATGCAGGTATGTTATGAAACGAACGTGACGACAGGCTGGATGGTTCTGCACCACTTAGTGGTAAACTGATGCATGACAAGCCAAATTTTATCAAGGCCCATTGGGAGCACCAACAGATAGACCATCACGGCCTGAAGACACCACGCCTAGAGACCACGCAGCTCCCCAATACGCCTAAGGGCGTGGACAAGTGTTCTCGACTTTAAAAAAACAACAAAAAACTAATGAAAGTTACATCTAAACAAGTAACATTATTAACCCTATTCGACTGCTCTACTTACAGCAACGTGTGAGAAAGAACTGGTTAACAAAATACCTAAACGAGTGAAACACAGTAAAGCTGCTTTATGAGTTAAAAGGGCGGTTGGCATGTTGTGCTGTGGTTTACAGCTAGATTGTGATATCTGCGCCTTTAGGCCAAACACCCTCTGTGGCAACAAACGCCTAATTTTTCACCTTTTACGAAATGCTCGTTACGTGGCTGGCATGTGTTCCCACACCTCACTCCCACCCTGTTTTCTCCTTACCATCTCGACCCCAACTAGGCCTCAGGGACTCACAGCTGAGGAAAACCATTTAAAAACAACAGAAAAATATGAATTAAAACATGTCAGCTACCGACAACCAATAGACTCTCCCTATCCTGTAAGAATTAAACTGTTGACCTACTTTTAAGCTCAACAATCTAACACGTGATGTTGGTTTAGCCAGGGCTTTCAAGATCTCCTCACAACCTTGCATGGACAGCGGATTTCTGCCAATCTGCAATTAGAGTAAAGATTGATTAAATGTCACTAATGGTTATCCTGTAGCTTACATGATGACCACTACGTGCTTGTGAACAAGATAGCTCGGCATATTAACTGGGCTCCCAGTGGAAGCCAGAAGAAATGAACAGAAGGAAAACCACAGAAAGAAACGGTTTATATAACAACTATCCGAGTGTGGGTTACTGGGTTCTAGTATATATGTATACACACACACTTTCAAGGAATTTACTGACATTCTCCTTTAGGTCCTGTCCTGGCAAAATTTGGAGCTGAAAATCTACCCAAAATATTTCACTATCCTCGCCGGTGCTACAGAGGTTATGCACTGTGCTGAGCTTCTTCGGACTCAGGTTTGAGTTAGAAGAAGAACGGAGCACTTATGGGTTACTACCCGTGTGCCATGATGTTGATCCGTTGTTCAAAACCTTATTTTCTCCTTTAATATCTCAGATCGTTTTCTTTTTGGATCCTTCTGTCAGAAAACTTATATCGGGAGGCGAGTAGTCTTTATGAAAGCTATTGTGCAGTTCATATCCTCTCGTGTACCATACAGTTTTGTCTTTATTATGGATCGAACAGGCCAGACTGCGTCTCTGTTGTCAGCATACAGCTGACAGTGTTGGAGCACATGCTCAGCATTTTCGGGTGCCACGCTGCAGGGATACGTCTCAATGTTTCATACACAGAAAAGGTTGAACATATGTTGAGGAAGTCTGTTGTGCCCTGTCCTTAGTCCCAATATAATACACTGTAACTTTCTAGAGAGGCGATGAAGCGAGTCTTGATGAGAGAATTTGGTGTTTGTATCCAGCCACCTTTCTTGGATACTAGATTGTATTAATGTCTTCGTCTCTAGGTGGGTTAGGTCGCTATTTGGTTGTGTCATGTCACTGCCGCTTCTGGCCAACCCGTGAGCTATTTCATTGCCTTCCAAGCCACAGTGACCTGGAATCCACTGCAGTACAGATTGTTCTACCAAAGAGGCTAAATGAATCAGCCATTGCGTCTTGTCCACAAAATGAGTGTCTTTTGGGTTAACAATTTCCTGTAGGACTGACATAGCCTCAGTCAGAAAGATCACTCAGCTATATATACCCAGATGATGTCATTAATTATGATATATCCTATTTCCTCCGAAGTCGGAGTACATCTGCCGGAGAGGCGGGGAACGAGAACTGCGAACAAATAAGCCAGTAAAACGGATGTACACGCAAAACTCAGGTCAAGGTAAAAGCCAAAAGTCCATTTTGGACGAACAACCGCGACTTACCGCTGGAATTCACAGCCGGTGAACAAGAAGAAGAAGAAGAAGATATATCCTATGAAATGTGGCTATATACTATAAGTCATATCTAAGTTTCAAGAAAGACGACCTACCTGCAACACCTCTAAGGTGCGGTTTACAGCCAACCCCTTGGCCAAGTGAGGCGCTCCATCCCAGGTAATTCTATTATTTTCCATATTCAATATTTTCAATGTTCTGTTGACTCGCAGTGTCTCGCCAAACGCTATGCTGCCTTCAAATCCAAACCCATTCCAGGATATGTCAAGTTCTTCCAGTCGCTTGTTTTTCTGAAATCATAAAAGATAGTTAGTTAGTTAGTTAGTTAGTTAGTTGGGTTATCCTCATTGCACTCCGGACATGTCCATAGGTGCTCAGATCCTCCCCTCAGTATGAACCCCAACGTCCGATGACTAATAGTACCAGTTCTATGTTGATTAACAAGTCTTCTGGCGTAGCTGGTGTGCGTCTCGTGTTTTGCTGTGCCGATCTTAATTCCCAAGTCTGCCAATCTGGCCAGTGATGTGGATTCACTGCATCATAAAAGAGTTTACGACGACAAAGTCTATTAAGCAACAACAAAAAAAAAAAAATATATGGATTTACTTTACAGAGCTGCGTTTCATCCCATGTAGACCAGTATAAATCCTATCTTGTTATACGGAAGTGAATCATGGACAGTAGGTATATTATGGAAAAATTATTTGGAAGCTGTTTTACAGACGAATGATGAGAATGCCCTGGACAGATAAAAAGAGTAATGAAGATAACATGGAGGAAACTGACTCACGAAAAAAGAAATGATTGCCAATACAAGAAAGAGACAGTCTATATTCTTTGGTAATGTGATGGAAAGGAGTAAACTGGAGTACAGTAGGAAAGTTGGAGGGAAGGAGAGGCAGAGGGAGACCGAGAGAAAATACTATGGACAGTTTGACCTTATGGCATGGAAGATCATCTGTGTCAGAGTTAACTGAAAGTACACGAGGCAGAAGGTTGTGGATAGACATGACTACCAACGTCACACGGCATGGGCTTTAAGAAGATGAAGACCAGAGTCTCTCCAATAAAGGGTACGACAAAAACAGCTTAACATTTTCGGTACCAGGGAGCTCACAGTACTTTCATTAGTTACTCTTTATGAGTTATACCTTTCAATATTCTGACTTTCATATTCTTCTGCTGGATTCACCCATTTGATCCTCGTGGTTACTGTAACCCATTCTTTTCCTTGCTGTACTTTTAAATCTTATAAGACTGAACAATTGTTGCACCAATGTTAAAAAAACGTCATAGTATAAAACACAATATTGGGTCAATATGACTGAAAGAGTTAAAAAAAAAGATACTTTCAAATTAAGGATGTATTATTCCCCATGGGGGTTGCGGGGCCCCATTGTGGGGCAATTAAAAATATACTTACTGTCTCCCAAATAAGCATTTCGTAAGAGTCGAGTAGTTTTAATTTTTAATTTTTAATCGGAGCGCATCTGTCTGAGACGCAAGGAATCAACAGTATGCATAGAATAGGTCCGATCTGTAAAATGGATGTGCATGAAACACTCAGGTCTTGGAACTTGTCTGATGTCCAAAGGTAGTACAACCAAAACTTTGCGCTAGAAGTTACAGCCGGTGAAGGCGAAGAAGAAGAAGAATTAGACTGTATGATTGCTACAACATGTAGTCAGGTCTTGGTCAGATGTGACCGAGCTATACTGTAACAATAGTTGGTACTACCAGTTCTCTGTTAAGGTCGAATGTTAAGTGCCGTATACCAAACCTGACATCCAACATTATGCTTCCGGAAGAGAAGCGCATCTGTGATAATCTTAGCCTTATCCAAAAGAGAGGATATGCAAGCACCCTGAAAACTTATTATTATGGCAGTGCAGACTAGACAGCCTTGGTTGGAGGCTAGTTTAGGAGACAGGTATAACAAAGGGACAGACTTAGCCTTTCTTCTGGAGTTTACTTTGTTCTAAACGTATTGATGTTACATTTCCTTTGGGACAAAAAAGACAGATATAGTGAGGAATCATGTTGAATGGGCAACACATCTCAAGCTATGTTACTGGCACCTTTTCCTCTTTCAGGATGATAGTGTCCCATCATACTATAGGCAGTCATGTCAGTCACAGTAGATGGCGGTATCAGTTAAGGTCAGACATGAATTTGCTCCTCTCTATAGCAGAAAGATTGGGCAATATTGTAAAGATTATGTGTTGGCCGTGCAGTGTGATCCAGCTCTAGGAGGTTCTATCACAACATAAGCCAAGTTGCATAAGTGTGCCCGTTTTCAACGTTTGTGCTTTCTTACACAGTCAACAGATGATGGTCGATCAGAGCGTCATACATGCTTTAAATGTCTAGTTTCAAGACCTACAATCGTACAAACGTAGCGGTACAGTTGTATTCCTCTGCTACGTAGCCGACAGCTTCCACCACTATTTTTCACAGTAGTTCTTCAGCCTGTCTGTTGCTGGTCTATCCAAACTTAAATCGTGGATTTCCCGCATGCTGGTTATTGCAGGCTCTGGATCCTTTTGATCGGACGAGCTCCATTACTGCGGCGACTCTCTTAGGCTCTAGTTGCATGCAGCCCTCCCAAGCACACTGCCAGATAGTTCAACACAATCTTGAACACGAAACAAAACCGTGGAAAACACCACTCCGCTGATCAGATGCGAAACGTTTATTGGTTCCAACAACTATTCTCTTCCGTAAATGCACTAGAGGTATACAAGTCTAGGGTTGACCAGATCGACAACACATAAGAAACATCAGTGATATCAACGTTACCTTTCCAGGATTACCAAAAAGAGCACTTCCAAACTGTGCACCTCAAGATCTTCTAAGTACTAAGCGTATACTCTAGCAAAACACCTCGTCTCGCAGCAGCCATTCGTACGGGACTGGATAGTCAGGTATTTTTGCCCCAGTCGGCTGCTTGTTCTAACACCACTTTCTCTGCAGATTTACTAATTTATCATTCTTGACGCGCCATACAACCCGGCTTCCATAACCTCGAAAATAAGACTGAATCTTCTAGATCATTTTAAGTTTAAATAATCGGTTTCCCTCTTGGGTTGTCGAAAGTTCCATACATGATTCATGCTTTCTCACATCTGGCACGCTTTCAGCCAACTAGCACACTTGTCTCGAGTTATTCGCTACTCGATCCTGTTCCTGCATATATTGTACTTCGTTAACGATACCATTAAAACTTTGGCATAATTTATACTTAGTAGCTAACCTCATTTACAAATGAGAACATTAATTAACAAGGAGAAAATGACTCATTACACCACTGATGTCTTTGTAAATGCTGAAGACTTCTTCTTCTTCTCTTCCACCTTGTACCTCATCGAAGTGTCGGGGAGTGGGGGGGGGGGGTGGGGGGTGGGTGGGGTAGATGTAATGTTCGTTAATGAGCTCTGTCAAGAGCACTATTAAGACTGATGTTCATTTCTGTAAGGCTGTTCCTAATGCCATCACTGCATATTTTCCGAGGTCTTCCACTCGCTCTATCCCTGTGGTAACGTTTTAGTGTGGCTCGCTGTAGCAGATAGTACCAGGGCATTCTTGTTAGGTGCCCAAACCACTTTATGCGTTGTTCTTTGATGACCTGTAAGACTGGCTTTATTCCAAAGACTGGGGGTAAAAAAGTGGGCTATTTACCTTTAAACTATTTCCTAACGCCACTGCTCCTCCTCCTCGGATGTGGTTCCAACTGAGATCGACAAAAACCAACGTTGAATTCTCTCCTAGAAACAAAACATTGCTTCAGGATGCAACATAAAATTGTTTTTGTTTATGCTTATATACATTATTATATAAATCGAGTGTTATGTGAGTCGGCGACTGTGGCTGAGGCGTTGCGAACGCGCTTCGCAAAGCCGGGCTTCGACAGTGTATCGAGAAGCCGACCGTCTAGAAAGCAACAGCAAACTACTGGACGTAAACTTGCCTAGAAAATCCACAACAGCCAAAATATGCTGGGGTTGGCTCTGCAACGTCTTGTAAATGATACGCAACGAACTAATGTGACAATTACAATGAAAAACTAAAAAATGTGAAGGTCAGAAAAACGTTAACAGGATCACAGCAAACATGGTTGACGTTACGACTGTAAATCCTGTACCAGAAGGTAAACGGAGTACGTGTAAAGCAGACACACAGAATTGAGGATTCTTCTCTCAACAATGCAAAGGGATTAGACACAATAGTTTATTATGTTTGACAAGAGACACTGCACTAATCGAAAAACGAGTTTTCTTATGGGTAATGATTGTGTCCAAAGGGTTGACCTCATTGCTCGGGGTTATCCCATAGGGCTCGGTATATCTCCCAGGAACTGCTAGCCTCATGCCGATAGCGTCGCACAAAAGTCGAACTCCATAGATTCAGTGAAGATCTGTGCGCAAAAATTGCACTCGTAACTGAACGATACCACCGCCTGACCCGAAACGAATCCTCGACCTTCAGAACGTGAGGCAACCGGCTTGACCATGGAGACCCACTGTGTAAATTTTTATAGTTCAGTAAAAATGCCCACAGATAAGAATCACACGTTAATCAACCATTTTAATCTAGAATTAAAACAAAATTGAAAATGTCACAAACATTGACTCTATAGTTTACAGCAATGGAGACAGTTCAATAGAAGTCAAGAAAACATATATAGTAACGCCGAGGCTAAACAGCATTAACGCTTATGATTCAAACAAATCAAAGTAAAGACTTTGAGAATATACATCTCTGCGGTGGCAACGTATGGTTGTAAATCATGGATAATTCAGTAATGTCTGAACAAGAAAATCAGTCTTTTGAACTTAAATGTTTCATGAAATTCTCAGAACACCATGCGTCACACGGGAGAAAATCGAAAGTCCATAAACGCAAAATCACTACTTCAGAGATGAGATGCATCAGAAATTCCCCAAACCTAACCATCAGAGATCGAGTGAGTAATGATACTATCAGCAAGATTGTGGAAATAACAACTTGTACTAATTAGATTAATCAAATAACAACATATCATGTAGTTCGGCCACCATATTAGAATGCAGTAATATCACATACCATCACAGGCACTACATCTCAGAAATCAGCTACAAGAGCAAGAAGACGGTCATAAACATATGGATTGACAAGATAGTTGAGCTGAGTTGAGTTGAGTCAAGAAATGACATCACGGCACTTGGGGCATTCCCATGCATGCTCCGTTCTCATCTTCAGCAGCCAGCACAGAGTTGAAATACTGATGGTACCGGTCACAATCTGGTAATATATCCGTCTTGCCTTTACTCTGAGTGTAGTAATCAGGCCAGACACTCTGGGGTCACTCAAGTGCCTTATTCTCTCTAGGCCTTAATAATCTTATTTCTTTACTGATTTGGTGCTTGTTCCCAAAGAGCCTTGACAAGATAAAGACAATTTACTCCTTCAAAGCATGGCAATAGCCAGTGCAAACAAAGTGCACTGGATGACACGGGGGGGGGGGGGGTATTTTATTTCTTTAAGATCTAATATAAAATTATTATTACTTATAAACAGTAACTTATCTCAGAAGTGGAAAAAAAAAAAAAAAAAAAAAACCAATCATAACTTTTTAAAAATTGCATTTGTTTAGAAAGAGCAGCATTAGAAGGTATAGTTCCTACAAGAAAAGGTACAAAACCCACAACCACTGGAATGGAACGAATGCAAAGCAAAGGACTACTTCACTACGGCGCTCTTGTATGTGTACATATAGAATGACAATGGATTTACCTAAAGCTCGTGAAAGTTGTATGGCGCCTGTCGGTCCAATCTTGTTCTTACTGAGGTTCAGTTGTAGAAGTATATGGTTCACCTGCATGGTAAATGAGTACACAGAGTAATCAACAATACAATTCCCTTTGTTTCTTAAAAAAGGAAAACATAATTAAAGAAAAGTAATCGGCTAAAGAGAAGATTGTAATTGGTGGCGAAAACAGTCTACAATTAATCGCGGAACTGACTCTTTCAGTAAGTACCAAGTCACTTAGACGATGGAAACACACCAGAGGTCGACCACGCAAGCGATGAATAGATGTAATATCACAGGCCGTAATACCAACTTCTACGGCTCTCACCAGATGCCTCTTCAAAACCTGATACTGAAAAGCAATACAAGACTAGACAAAAATGAAGAAGTACCAAGCCATTCATCAAGGATTTGTGAGTTTCTCGCTCTATATTTTACATTAATTAAAAAAATATTGTTTTTAATTTTTCTGTGACTTTAAACCGATTAGATCTAAGTTGATACATTAACTAGTTGTGTCCCATAGTTTTATTTTTACATACTTTATTTACTTTACACACGTTTTTTTTATTTATTTAAACTTTTCCGACCAATTCTGTGGCTTTAAACCGATTAGATCTAAGTTGATACATTAACTAATTGTGTCCCATAGTTTTATTTTTACATACTTTATTTACTTTACACACGTTTTTTATTTATTTAAACTTTTCAGACCAATACTGTGGCTTTAAAGACCACACACTTTGCGAAGAAGTGTCGCCGTGGCGTAGCTGCTAGACGCTCGCGTGTGGATCGGAAGGTCGTGGGTTCGCTCCCTGGCGTAGCCGGACTCTTTTCAAAAATAACATTGACTCCCAGGTCAACCCAGCCTTAAGTGGGTACCGGGAAGTAAAGGCAGCCGGTGTGATGCTGACCACATCATCCATCTTGTGCCGATTAGTCTATAAAAATATAAGTCTAGCCCTATATGCCCTATACGCCTAAAGGCCTGGAAAAGGGACCTTTACTTACTTTTTACTTTGGGAAGGAAACACACTGAAAAAGTATTACCTGTTAGAAACTAAAAGCGTTAGGTTTGAGATTATATTCCTCAGGAATGAATGGGTTTATCATAGACCAAATATGAAACGGTGTTATATTTTTCAAACTTTGTTGTTTCGGGTCTGTAACCTGATGATTGTTCACTCTCCGAGCCACACATAGTATAATCAAACCCGTGGGCACAGGACCCAGTCCCTGTTATAACTGAAACGGTTATAATTATGTTTATGGTCGTGCGCTAACGTATGGTAAATACTACAGAGTGTGAGTCCTCTGAATGACGTGGAAGGCCACACAAAAACAAACAGCAATCTGGCAACAATTAGTGGATCATAAATGTGATCGGTTAAAGCAAAGGAATATTTTCACGTCTTTGATGCATCTGGCATTAGGTTCCATATTTTGTATAGATCAATTGGTCGACATTACGTCTTTATTCACAAAGCCATTTCTGGTATCTATTTCAGGTTTAATTATGAAAGTCGTCGTCGATGAAGATTGGAAACCAAGGCCTTCGAGCGAACAGAAAGTCACTACTCTACAATAGGTCCTAATGTTAGCGCTTCACCCTGTTCGTGCATGTACATGTGGTTTTGTTAATTTGTTTATTGTACTGATGAAGCTTTGTAGCCGCAACGTTCACTTTCCGCTGTATGTTGTTACACTGGGAAGATCGCCAGTCTATATTTCGTTTCGTTTTTATATATTTTCATAGACACATAACACCGCGTGTCGTTGGGTCGCCAGTTGCTGTTGACTCTCTGATGGGTAGCCTTCACCTCCGTTCGTGGGATGCAATCATCTGGATGTTTGCAAGTTTGATATCAAATCAGTTCTGTCAGCTAAGTTCTGTTTTCACGTCGTGCCAGGGCTGACTCCTCTCCTTTCTCCTATGTAAGTCGTGTAATATCGTTCCGATGGCTGATAGATCTTATTACATGTCATTACCATAACATTGTCAGAGTTGTCACAGTTCTGAAAGCTCCCGCTGACACTATTCTTTACATTTAGGGTATCTTCTACCTGCGATACGGCCAAACAAGAGACGGGCTATCACAATGCAGGATAGCAGTTTAACCGATAAGTGTGGATCTATAGAATCCAGCATGCGGAAGGAATTGGAGGCGTTAACTGCTGGGCTGTAATGATTCTCACCCATTTATTGTGCTAAAGTCACTATATCCTCTTCTTATATATCAAAGCTTTCACACTACAAAAACGGAGCCGCCGTGGCCTAGCGGCTAGACGCTCGCCTGCGGATTGGAATGTCGTGGGTTCGGTTCCTGGCGAGGGCCGGATTGTTTTTCAAAAATGACCTCGGCTCCCAGGTCGCCTCAGCCTTGATTGGGTACCAGGTACAGTCCTAGGAAGTAAAGGCGGCCGGCGTGGTGCTGACCACATCACCCACACAATGCCGTTTGGTCTATAAAATATAGGTCTAGCCCTATATACCCAATACGCCTGAAAGGCAAGGAAAAGGGTCCTTTACTTACACTACAAAAAAAAAAAAAAAAAGCTTCTTACCTGAATTCCTTGTGCCAGATAACCAATTTCACTGTCCCCGATAGAACAGTCTGTAAAAAGTTTTTGAAAAAGTAAATACTATGTAAAATGCGGCGTCTGTGGCTTAGGCGTTACGAGTCCGACTCGTAATCCAACGTACAGCGATCGAAACCCACTGCTGGCTGTGTGGATTTTTATCGTGGTAGGGGCGTCGTAGGTCGACCCAGCCTAAAATGGGTACTAGGATGGGATGTCCTGGGAAAGTAAAGACAGCCGGCGTAATGCTGACCACATTACCCACCGAGTGCTGATGGTCTGTAAAAAAAAATATGGGCGCTCTTCCCATATGCCCGATACACCTATAGGCGTGGAAAGCGATCTTTACTTTACTTTACTTACTTTTACTTACTATGTAAAATAATCCGAAATATCAATAATATTAAGAAAGAGTTGTTATGAAAATAAAGAATAATTAATCTAATACAGACTTGCCCGGGATGTCGAACTTTTTCGGATTAAACAAGGAACACACTTGCCAGATTTAACAATCCTACTGAATTAATCCAGTTTGAGGCCAAATGGCACCAATTTCGAAACGCAAGTACATGAATTTGATCACCAAAAAGCACTGCTCATCACGATATTCTTACCAACGCTATGCTATCAGTGTCAAATATGGACACTGTCTTCGGAAGGCAGAAGAAAAATAGTTACGACAGAAATGAAATGTTTACGTACTATGTTAGGTGTAAGAAGGAAAGGTCGTCTTAGGAAAGATGATACCAGGAGGAAAGTCGGCACAGAACCAATACGGAACTTTATAAGTAGACAACAAATCAAATGGTTTCGCCATGTAACAACACAAGCATCAGACAGGGCACCACGGAGAGCAAGAAATTCCAATTCCAGTTGTCCAACAAAAAATTCCAAATTTGATCCTTTTTCAGCTGCCCGGAGGCCTGCTATATGAATGAAGGTTCCTTGGCTATCTTATTTGATTTTCAATTATTTGTGGTGTGTAGTCACACCTGATAATCATCTTTGCTTCCTGAATCCGGTGTGGTGCTTAGGGTTTTTGGGTCTGGTCTTGTCCAGTTCTCTAAGTGCTGATATCTGTGGGTTTTAGCAGATTGTTAAGAGAGCAAGCAATACCATACAGATACAGCAGTAACACACCCAGAGGTCGACCACGCAGAAAAAAGACCGCAGAAATGTCGGACACTGAAAAGTACTAAATACGGAGCGAGCAGAGGAGCCCGTTCCAAAGATCTCTTCCTGTCCTGACACAGCGAGTCATTCCAGGGGTAGAAGACGAAGACATTTAGTTTTAGAACTACAGATATTAGTGATCATCACAGGGCGCTATCTGGTCCCTAAAACTTTCTTTGAATACAGCCTGTTTAAAAAACTGATGATTAAAAACACAGAGAGTTTTAACCGAAAGATATCACTTACATAATCTCCGTCCCCAGGTGAGACGAATTGTTCCTTTTGTTTTTGAAACTCCACCCTGGTTGTTGCTGGGGGACCTAAAATAACTTAACGGTTGAACGGGGTTTCTGGGACCACCTCTCCAGGAGGATTCTTATCCAAATGATGGCCATTTGTGTCACCGCGTGTTTATCGCTCGGTGTGATGTCCTGGTGGGGTAAAGAGTCAGTCAGTCAGTGAACAGACAAATTAGGACACATAAAGAATTGTTAAGATTTTTGTGTCCCAGTATTTAAGCAACTGAAGCAGATACCTCCAGAAAAATAGAAAAAATATTTCACAGGGATGCTTCGAGCAGAGTGGCAAGCTTTACTGGAAAGGTCACGGGTAGTGAGCATTCTTTGGATCTTCTCTTCAGTCAATGCCGGCGTGGTGGGTAATGAACAGGTAGACAGATTGGCTGAATCTGCACCATTGGGTGGTGATTTGATACATGACAAGGCAGATGTGGTCCAGGCCCTTTGGGAACAAGCAACGCAATCAGTAGAGACAGAAGATTATAATGGCCTGTAGAGAATGAGGCGCCTGCGTGTAATCAGTATTGGAACTCTGCGCTGGCTGCTGAAGATGAGGAGGGAGCATACAGGGGAATGCCCCAAATGCTGTGATGTCAATTATTGACTTAACTCAACTCATTCACTCTCTTCTGTTAATAATATACATTAGATAGTTGAGAACATTCGTAAATATTGTAGAGTAATGACCTTTTTAGGGTAGGGGCTATTGATAATAGTATGGCCCTAGCAGAATATTCGTTAGCAAACATAAATATGGTGCTTTTAGCATGTAGACTCTTCGTTGGCTGCATAGATGGGGACGGAGCACGCGTGGGAATGACTTTCTACCCCACTAGGACATCACACAAACGATAAACACCCGATGACACAAAGTGCCACCATGCGGATGAGGATCGCCGTGGAGAGGTCACAGAAACCGCGTTCAGACAATTGGCCATATTTATGGCCTGCCTATATTGCAGCCCCTGGCAAAAGCCAGAGTGGGGCTTCAAAAAACAAAAAATTACATGCTAAAAAAGGACGTAAGGACAATACTAGATTATGCTAAAGGTTAGAGACCACTGTACTAGACATCAGTTTTAGGAAATGGGTGTCATAAATATTCTCTCTCTCTCTCTTTTCTCTCTCTCTCTCTCTCTCTCTCTCTCTCTCTCTCTCACACACACACACGTACGTAAGCACGCACGCACGCGCGTGCGGACACACACACACATACACACACAAACACAAACACAGGTAAATCTCCTTTTACTACAACTCAGTAGTATTTAACTTTGGATTGGATTGGCTTTTTACCCCACTAGGACATCACACAAGCGATAAACACCCGATGACACAAAGTGCCACCATGCGGATGAGGATCACCGTGTAGAGGTCCCAGAAACCGCGTTCAGACATTTGGCCATATGTATGACCTGCCTATATTGCGGCCCCTGGCAAAAGCCAGAGTGGGGCTTCAAAAAACAAAAAATAACGTCCTAAGAAGGACGTAAGGAATATTACTTTATTTAACTTTAAACTAAAATTTGTTTTAAAAGGGAATCTACTCTATTGAAGAATCAACTATCTTCCATGGATTCTTATTTCCCTTGCATTATATTAGTTTAGGCGCTATCAGTTTCACAACAGTCAAGCCGAAGAGTCCTTGATGTTGACTACACAACAACCACCACCACCACCACCACCATGAAAACCGAGGGTCGATTAAAGTAAGTAGATTAAAGGACCTAAATGCACGCCTTTAGGCGTATTGGGCATGTAGGGCCAGACCTTTATTTTATAGACCAATCAGTACTTGATGGGCGATGTAGTCAATATCACACTAGCCGCATCTACGGGTAGACTGTACCTGGTACCCATTCAAGGTTGGGTCGACCTAGGGACCAGAGGCATTTTTGAAAGAAAGAGGTCCGTCATATTTCGAACCCACGACCTTCTGATCCGCAGGCGAGAGTCTAGTCGCAACACCCGGCGACTCTCGAGTGCCGACTGGTCAAGTAATATACGAGTCTAGCATCATATACCCTATACACCACAGGAAAAGGGGTCCTTTATGTTTATTTAACCAAACAAATGTGGGTTGCTTTAATAATATCCTACCCAAAACAGAGGAAATCCACAGGTTACGGGACATTCTAATATTTCAGGGGCTGGTAAACTGGTTGCATGCAGTCGTGGGACCTAGACTGCACTCTCTCGTGGGACGTAGGTGGGTTGGGGTTAGTGCCAGTTTTAGGTTTTTTGGGTCGTTAAAAGCATCAGAAAGACGGGAAACCCAGTCGAAAATGTTAGACTGTTCTGTGACGTCATCTGGGGTAGGATATTAATAAAGCACCACATTTTCTTTTACTATGTTAATTCCTTCAGTGCCTTTTTATGCCATTATATGTCACACATGACTGTTAGTATTTTCCTCCATTCCGTTCCAAACTCTGCAATCACATACATTTTGGATAGAATCCAGTCCAGCACCCTTGGCTTTTCTCACCAACGTTCGCTTTAAGGTTTCTCTTGGATGTCATATATCCCCACATTTCCCACTGCAGCAAATGATTGATAGCATCTTCATCCCTACCTTATGCTCTCATTGCCAAACATGGACAATGAATAGAGCACTAGAACATAAAAAAACTACATGTGACACGTGCTATCTTCGCAAGGTCACTAACAACACAAGAAGAGACAGAGTAACAAATACCAGCATTAGAAAGAAAAGTCTTTAAAAAAAAAAAAAGACCATGTCTGGATTATACTGACAGACAAAGAATAAAATGGTTCGGCCATCTAGTGAGAATGCAGCCAGACTAAAACTGCATATGAGACTTTTTACAGCAGAACATCTGGGAGGAAGGCGATGTGAAGACTAAGACTAAGAAAAATAACTGATTTAGCTGAAGATGAACAGTAGTAGTAGTAGTAGTAGTAGTAGTAGTAGTAGTAGTAGTAGTAGTAGTAGTAGTAGTAGTAGTAGTAGTAGTAGTAGTAGTAGTAGTAGTAGTAGTAGTAGTAGTAGTAGTAGTAGTAGTAGTAGCAGTTGTTGTAGTAGTAGTAATAGTAGTAGTAGTAGTAGTAGTAGTAGTAGTAATAATAGTAGTAGTAGTAGTAGTAGTAGTAGTAGTAGTAGTAGTAGTAGTAGTAGTAGTAGTAGTAGTAGTAGTAGTAGTAGTAGTAGTAGTAGTAGTAGTAGTAGTAGTAGTAGTAGTAGTAGTAGTAGTAGTAGTAGTATAGTAGTAGTAGTAGTAATAGTAGTAGTAGTAGTAATAGTAGTAGTAGTAGTAGTAGTAGTAGTAATAGTAGTAGTAGTAGTAGTAATAATAGTAGTATTAGTAGTAATAGTAGTAGTAGTAGAATTAGTAATAGTAGTAGTAGTAATAGTAGTAGTAGTAATAGTAGTAGTAGTAGTAGTAGTAGTAGTAGTAGTAGTAGTAGTAGTAGTAGTAGTAGTAGTAGTAGTAGTAGTAGTAGTAGTATAGGAAGTAGAAGAAGAACGTTGAACTGAGAATCGACATCACAGCACTCAAGACATTCATTCAAACTCTCCGTACCCACCTTCAGCAGCAAGCACAGAGTTCAGGTCCCCCCCCCCCCAACCCAAAAAAAAATATAAAAATAAAAAAAAAATAAAAAGACGAAACAGAGAACTTCTTCTTCTTCTGCCTTTCTATCCCCCAATGGAGCATAGGCCCTCAACCAACTCACGCCAAGTCGTTCTATCCTTCGCCATTGCATGGAGCTCTCCCCATGTCCTCCCAATCTTTCTAACCTCGTTCTCCAGCTCTCTTCTCCATGTGTTTTTTGGCCTTCCTTTATTCCTATGCTCCTGTGGGTTCCAATGCAAAGACATTCTAGTAATGCTGTTCTCCTGTTTTCTCAGTGTGTGCCCTATCCAACGCCAGCGTCTTTTCCTCACCTCCTGATCCACTGGAGCCTGTTTAGTTCTCTCCCAAAGTTCTACATTAGTTATTCTATCATACCATTTTATTCCCTCTATTCTGCGCAGGCACCAGTTAATGAATGTCTGTAATTTATTAGTAATTGCCTTGGTTGTTCTCCATGTTTCCGCCACATACAAAAGTACTGATTTGACATTAGAATTAAAAATTTTTAGTTTAGTATTTCTTTTAATTTCTTTTGACCTCCACAAATTCCATAGTGCTATGAAAGCCCCTCTTGCCTTTTATATTCTTATTTTAATATCTCTATCAGTTCCTCCATCTTTATCTACATTACTGCCTAAATAGGTGTACGACTCCACGTCTTGGAGTGGGGTGCCATTAAGAGAAACCACATTACTATTTGCCTGATTTATTCTCATTATCTTTGTCTTTCCTTTATGGATTTTCAGACCAAACTGCTGTGATCTCGCATTAAGTATATTTAATTTATCTTGCATCTGATTCCGTGAATGGGACAGAAGAGCAATATCATCAGCGAAGTCCAGATCATCAAGCTGTTTAGTAGGGGTCCACTGAATTCCATTCTTGGTGTTAGCAGTTACTGTTTTCATAGTCCAGTCTATAGCAAGTAAAAATAAGAGAGGCGACAAAAGACATCCCTGTCGCACACCTGTTTTTATATTAAATGCATCTGTTAGCTTTCCCTCATGAAGAACTCGACATTTCATGTCTTTATATGTTGCCTTTACTAAGTTGATAATTTTCTGTGGGATTCCATAGTGCCCCATCAATTTCCAGAGAGATTCCCTATCTATGCTGTCAAATGCTTTTTCATAGTCTATAAATCCAATGTAAAGTGGTGAGTTCAGTTCAATGCTTTGCTCTATTATAATTCGTAATGTGGCTATCTGATCAGTACAGGATCTGTTTGACCGAAAACCTGCCTGCTCATCTCTTAGCATTTTATCAATAGCATCTTTTAATCTTTCCAAAATAATTCTACTTAATATTTTTCCAGGAACTGACAGCAACATAATTCCTCTATAGTTTTCACACACCTGTAGAAAAACTTTTTTGGGCAGTTTCACAAGATATCCTTCTCTCCAGTCTGCTGGTATTTCTTCGGTCTCCCAGACTTTACTGAATAATCTATGTAGCAATTCTGTTGATGTGTTTATGTTGGTCCTGATATCTTCAGCTGGGATACCATCTGGGCCTGTCGCCTTTCCTTCCTTGAGAAGATTTATAGCTTTTCTATTTCCTCTTTGGATGGTATCTCACAGTTGATATCCAGTTCCATTTCTGAAGGCTGAATATCTGGGGGAACCTCCGGGCCTGGTCTGTTTAGAAGCATTTCAAAATATTACACCCATCTGTCCATTTGATCTTTAGTGTTAGTAAGTACCTTTCCTTGACTATTTTTGATTGATCCCGTTGGCTGACTATATTTACCTACTAATTTTCTTGTGTTACTGTAAAGTTCTCTGAGGTTTCCTTTTGCTGCTGCTGTCTCTGCTTCTTGTGCTAGATCATTTAGATATTTCACTTTATCTGCCCTTATATGCCTCCTAACTTCCTTGTTGGCTTCTGTGTATTTCTCCTGAGCTCTAGCTTTAGCAGCTCTAGTTTTACTATTGTTTAATTCTGCCTTTTTACTTTTCCTATCTTCAATCAGTTTAATGGTTTCTGGTGTTATCCATGCTTTATGTTTCCTTTCTTTCTTGCCAAGAACTTCTACGCAAGATTCATTCCAGATTCCTTTGATCTCATCCCAGCAGACTTCTGTGTTGACATCTTCAGCTAACTGCTGCAACACCTGGTACTTATTAGAGACCGTAACTGAGAACTGTTCCTTAATTTCTTTATCTCTGAGAAAGCCTACATTATATTGGTTTCTATGATTATAAGATGTTATCTATCTTTTTAGTTTCAACTTGATTTTACTTACCACCAGGAAATGGTCAGTAAATACATCGGCACCTCTGAAAGCCCTAACATCGTAAAGGGATGATCTAAACTTTTTGTTAATACATATGTGGTCAATTTGATTAGTTGTCTTATGGTCTGGTGATTCCCATGTTGCCTTGTGTATACTTTTATGGGGAAAAATACTTCCACCAATAACATACTGGTTACCTGCACAAAAATTTGTGAACAATTCTCCATTTTCATTCATTACTCCTAGACCATGTCTCCCCATAATTTCTTTATAACCTGTGTTGTCTGATCCTATCTTAGCATTCAAGTCACCCATCGAAATTTTTAAGTTGCCCTTTCTTTCTTTCATTATTATTTATAATATTTTGAAGCTGCCAAACAGAGAACTACCGAAGCTAAAAAACAATCGCGGTATAGACAGTACCCATCATTACTAATCTGTAGAACCTAACGATAGTGCATTCGCTACTGGTCGGACAAGTTCACTCGCCTGATTTCCCCAGTTCACGCTGGTGTACTGGGAAACAAGCAGACAGCTAGGCGGGCCGGTTCTGCACCATTTGGTGGTGAATTGATGTATGACAAGCTAGATATTGTGAGTGCCCTTTAAGAGCAAGCGAACAGAGCCGAGGCACAAATATATCATTACTGTCTGAGAAGAATGATGCTACGGAAGGTTACCGGGGGATCTGGCCGACGCTCAACACTCAGGGGAAAGGCGAAATGGATGTACAGTCAAACAGTTACTGGTACAATAGGAACTGGAACTCTTTGCTTGCTGCTGAGCATGGGGAGGGAGCACTTATGTGAGTGTCCCCAGTGATGTGATGTCGATTCTGAATTCAATCATCATCATCATCATCATCATCATTGAACATTCTACTCACCTGAAAGATTCAGATGAAGGAGGCTGGTGCTCTGTGTCAGTAACTTGCAACAAGCCATAGCCCCTGTTACGTCCAAAGAACCACCAGCCAGATTCTTAGTTTAAAGAAGTCAATAAATGATTGTAGGGATATGCTTTGGTTTGGTTTATACAACAAATCAACATCATGGCACAAGAGTAGTAACCCAAAAGTGCTCTGTTCTACTTCTAACTCAAGTCTGAGTCTGAAGAATCTCAGCGCAGTGCACGAGCTCCCTAGCGCCGGCGATGTTGCTGAAATTTTTTTTAACATTTTGCCCGGGCATCGTCGTTACGCTACTCTTTTTTTTTTTACGTGCGCAGAGCAATACACACGGGCATCCGATCTTACTACCCAGAGACCAGAGGAATTTACTAGGCGTCCACTCGAAAAAAAAAATCTAGCCTTCACCTAGGCCTGTACCCAGGACCTCCAGCACTCGAGGCGGGCACCATACCTCGAGACCACACAGCCCCCAGTTATGGAGCGACCTATCTGCAGTGATACTGAAACTTGACTTAGTTAATTGAGACACAATTCTGGTTGATGTCTGGTTGGTCGTGCCTCTTCCGCGTGTGGGTTCCGGGTGCCCACTGTGAGGAAGAAAAAAACAGAACCAGCGCATAAGCCAGTAAAACGTATGTAAACGCAAAACTCAGGCCCTAAATGACTAAATAAATACAAATAAATAACAAGATAAAAATAAAACTATTAAATAAAATAGCAAGGAGACACACTTCAAGAACGAGAATACAAGGTGAAGATTAATAATAATAATAATAATAATAATAATAATAATAATAATAATAATAATAATAATAAATAAATAAAAGAAAAGAAAAGAAAAAGAAGAACAAGGAGAAGAAGAAGAAAAAAAAAAAGAAGAAGAAAAAGAAGAAGGTAAGAGTAGGAGGTTGTATAGGTGTAGTAAGAAGCTGCAGAAAATAAAGAAGAAGATAGTGCAAGATATTTTACTATGATGCCTCTGGGATATGTTAAAAGTTGCAGTAAATTGTCATACAAGTGACTTACCAGTTTAGTGATGTAGGTGTTACTTTGCAGTACTTCTATCACAAAAGTGGCAGTTTCTTCTTTTACTGAATTGTAGGACAGATCAACTTCTTCGATTCGGTTGTTCCGCTGAAAACGTCATGGCGAAAATCCAAATATTATGAATACACTAAAGACTGTTTTATGCTGTAGAAAAGTGGACAATGAATAACTTCAATATTAAATAGAGATCATGGAAAGGTGTGTGCGTATACACACATGTTTGAAAGCCAGAGTTGTGAGCAGGGAGATTGATGAAGACAATAGGGAGAGAGATTCTTGAGAACTTTTGTCATTGCACGGAAAACTGCTGTTGAGTGTGAAGTATCTGGCCCTTATATATTTTTTGGCCATTATATAGACAAAGTCCATTTTATAGACAAAATGATTTTCTTACTTCCCAGACAATTCCAAGATAATCCTGAAAATAGACTTTACCCATCTTTTCATTAGCACGTATCTCTCTCTTTTTCAAGCGTATCTGCTTCACATCTTTTCACAACCGTGTCTGCTACACATCTTTTCACAAGTGTATCTGCTTCACATCTTTTTACAAGTGTATCTGCTTCACATCTTTTTACAAGTGCATCTGCTACACATCTTTTCACAAGTGTATCTGCTTCACATCTTTTTACAAGTGTATCTGCTTCACATCTTTTTACAAGTGTATCTGCTACACATCTTTACACAAGTGTATCTGCTACACATCTTTTTACAAGTGTATCTGCTACACATCTTTACACAAGTGTATCTGCTTCACATCTTTTTACAAGTGTATCTGCTACACATCTTTACACAAGTGTATCTGCTACTCATATTTTCACAAGTGTATCTGCTACACATCTTTACACAAGTGTCTCTGCTACACATCTTTTTACAAGTGTATCTGCTACACATCTTTACACAAGTGTATCTGCTACTCATATTTTCACAAGTGTATCTGCTACACATCTTTACACAAGTGTATCTGCTACACATCTTTTTACAAGTGTATCTGCTACACATCTTTACACAAGTGTATCTGCTACACATCTTTACACAAGTGTGTCTGCTTCACATCTTTTCACAAATTCGTCTGCTACACATCTTTACACAAGTGTGTCTGCTTCACATCTTTTTACAAGTGTGTCTGCTTCACATCTTTTCACAAGTGTATCTGCTACAAATCTTTTCACAAGTGTATCTGCTACACATCTTTACACAAGTGTATCTGCTACACATCTTTACACAAGTGTATCTGCTACACATCTTTACACAAGTGTATCTGCTACACATCTTTACACAAGTGTGTCTGCTTCACATCTTTTCACAAATTCGTCTGCTACACATCTTTACACAAGTGTGTCTGCTTCACATCTTTTCACAAGTGTATCTGCTACACATCTTTACACAAGTGTATCTGCTACACATCTTTACACAAGTGTATCTGCTACAAATCTTTTCACAAGTGTATCTGCTACACATCTTTACACAAGTGTATCTGCTACTCATATTTTCACAAGTGTATGTGCTACTCATATTTTAACAAGCGTGTGCTATTCATATTTTCATAAGCTTGTCTGCTGCTCTTCTTTTCAGAAGCGTGTTTGTTGTTCATATTTTTAGAAGATTGTACCTATCTTTTTCAGTAGTTTGTTTGTTGCCTATCTTTTAAGGAGGGGGTCTGCTAACCATCTTTTCACAAGCTGAAGCAACCTCAGAACTGTGTTGTAATGTAAAACATAATCTTGTCTCTTCTGAAAGTGAACCCGCACAAATGTCTTCCAATGTAAATACGCTAGCCACTGTACTACTCTGGCTGCGATTGGCTTAGTTTCACCTTCTAAAATTAAACATAAATATTCGTGTAAATGTGGTGACCCCTCCACGACCGAGTAAGTGTTTTCTTACATGTTTTTTTAAAAGAAGACTATCTATGTTACGGTTAAAAAATTCATCAACTGAACTAGAACGAATGTAGAAATCAGCTGACTGCAAAATTGATGAACGAGCTAGGCTTGTACTTTTAATCAAACTGATGTGCAAACTGTACCCCTGGACTCGACTCACACCTTCATTCGCAGGCATGGCTACAGAAAAAAAAAAAAAATGAATTAACAAAGTGCCAAATTATTTATCGTTATCGTAGGCGTGCTTTTCAAAGAATGAACATGCGGATGACCCGGGTTCGACGCCCCAGTAAAGTGATGAAGTTTTTCTGTAAAGGGGAGAAAATTAACCTCTTAACCTGCATGGTCATGGCGACAACACTAGCCACTTTTTCTTCTCCTTCTTCTGTGTCTTTTTCTTCTTTTTCACCATTTACCTCAGTGAGGTGTTTGGTAGGTTAAGGAAAAGGGGGGGGGGGGGGGGGGGAAGGGATTTAAAGATCGTTAGTGCACTTATTCCAGTGCATTATACAAGTTGGTGTTCATTTCTGCTAGGTTGCTCTTGATGATGTCGTTTCATTTCCTGCGTGGTCTTCCTCTTGCTCTGTGTTCATTATATTTCTTTAGCCTGGCTCTCTGTGGCAGTTGGTACCAGGGCATTCTTTTCAGGGTTATCAAAGTAATATGATGGAGATGGCTTGGACATGTTTGCAAAATGCTTTGTGACACTCTGGCAAAAACAGCACTCCGGTGGACAGCAGATGGGAAAAGGAGACGTGAACGACCTAAGGAAACCTGGAGAAGGACAATAGAACGGGAAATGAAGGAATGTAAAAGGACATGGGATACCATGGACAGAAAAGCAGCAGACTGGCATCAAAGGAAATCACTTGTGAATACCTTATGTGTCAACAGCGACATGAAGAGGATATAGAGATAGATTCTATTCAGGTAGCTAAATCATCTCATTTGTTATTTTTTAATGAAATGTATGACTGGTTTCTGTCCTTGTCTTCTAATTTCTTTAGTTTTGACTTTTATCTCTACTTGTCACACCAGCAGCTCTCCTAAGACATCACATCTCTGTTGTTACGATCTTCCGTAGCCACTAGCCACGCGTCCATAAATCTTTAGGCTCAGGTCAACCCTGGCCTAAAAAGTGGTAAATACAGATAATAGTACCAATGCACACAAGCTGTCCACCTTCCACCACACATGTCTACGTAAAATTATCAAAATTTTCTGGCCAGATACAATCTCAAACACTAAACTACTTCAAACCACAAACCAAGAAACTTTAGACAGTATGATTACCAAGAGAAGATGGAAATGGCTTGGCCACGTTATGAGAAACAGCTCTCACATGGACACCAGAGGGAAAGAGAAAACAGGGGCGCCCAAAAACAACATGGAGACGAACGATGGAAAGTGACCTGAGTGCGGCATCTTTGACATGGAAAACTGCATTGAAGATTGCACAGGACAGGAAAGCATGGAAAGTCCTCTCTGAAGCCTCATGTGCCACTAGGCATAACGAGAACTGATGATGACAGATAATAGTGTCAGTGACAGAACACATTGAGGGGGGGGGGGCGGAGCATGAGGGGAGGGGGGGGGGAATGGAGTGATACAAAATGCTTTGGACTCAACCTTAAAAGTTGCGTAGAGATTACAGTCTTGTAACCTGTTGGTATTACTTTTAATAATGTCAAGAGTGTTAAGCACGCGAAATCACGACACAGTTGAACACAGTGATGTCATAATGGCAGTTTAAAGATGGCCGCCCTATTATTGACAGGCCCAGCGAGGAGTAGTATTCTATATTATGTTATCCGTTTTATTAAAAATTTTTTTTTTTAAAAATCAGTGAAGGGATAAAACCTATAACACTTCATCGGTGAATTCAGGTCCATGTCCTTCTAGACATGTATGAATATAGGTGTCAAAAATGACCGTCTCTGTGTGAAACAGAAGGCTGTTGATAGACATGATTACCAACAAGACACAACAGGACTAATCAGAGAAGATGAATGCTTGCTAAACATTTACGGGACCTGATCAAGTGAAGTAGACTGGTTCGTCATCATAACCATTCAATAACTGGAGAGAATGATTCCGCTGGGAGTGAACAAAGGGCCTGGATAACTTTCTACCAGCACCGAAAAAAAAAAAATAAGAACGACAAACGAGCTTTCTATCTCAAGCTGTAACTAGCCTAGTCAGTATTGAGACTGGCAGCTGAGGAGGGAGGCGCAACACGTATTGGAATGTCCTGATTACAGAGATGTCGATTCATTCATTCAGTAAATTATTAATTAATTTGTTCATCAGTTCATTCATTCACCCATTTGTTCATTTATAATCAAACAGTAAATCAAGAGTAAGGGCAACGATGCCGGCGCTGCTTGTACATTCATTTAGAAAACCTAAAAGTAATGTGATGATAATTTCCCTGCATCCTTACCGAAGAAATTAAAGTAACAAAAAAAAAAAAAAAAACAGGCGAAAAAATAAAAAAAAAGTACGACGATGAAGATACGAACTGAGCTGCACACAAGAAACGGATAGGACGAGTTGAAATGAGATAGTTGATGGCCTATGCTCTATCGGGTAATAAAAGCCTACATAAGATGAAGTAGCGTGGACGTTCTACCTGTATACGACTTCTGGCTACACTTGGTCGGTGTAGTCATTACGTGTGCCCTAATCATAACTTCTTTGGAGGTTGAACAGGGTAGCTGGGATCTGCCCTATTGGTCTGCCGTCCAGCGTGAGATTCCTCATTATCAGGAAGGTGTTTTAAACCTTTAGGAAGCAGCGCGGAGGGGACAACCTGATCAATCAATCAAAGAGAATAGAAAAGACTTCTTTCAAACAACAGTGTTCCGGATTCCGTTCTAAAAAAATCATAACCACATTCAACTTGCTGTTGGCAGCTCAAGCTAAAATCAGGCTCCGGTTATATTTGTGGTCTGGTTTATTTGCGCCACTTTCGTGGCTGAAATTATGGAATTTGCGCCAGCTCTCTTGCTTAATTTCCCTGTCCTCACAGTTAGACAGCTCCTTTCTGTCTTATCCCTGTGTATTCTTTTTGTCCTTATCTTCCTTATTCCTCCCCTGGGTCATCCTCCGTCCGGAGTATGTGTTGACTGACTGACTGACTTTCTACCCCACCAGGACATCACACAGCGATAAACACCCGATGACACAAAGTGCCACCATGTGGATGAGGATCACCCGTGGAGAGGTCCCAGAAACCGCGTTCAGCAAATTTGCCATATTTATGGCCTGGCTATATTGCGGTCCCTGGCAAGAGCCAGGGTGGGGCTTCAAATCAAGAAAAATTTCATCCTAAGAAGGACGGCAAATAGTAATAATTAGGAGTATGTGTTTCTGTTGCTTTCCCTTTATAATTTTGCCATGCGTGTTTAGTAAGAGAGGAACGGATAGCCGTGCACTTTGAAGCGGGAGACCTGGGTTCGAATCCTCGGTAAGGCTAGGGATTTTTTTTTTCTGTTGAGGGTAAAATCAAATCCTCACTTGCACAGTGGTGGCGACAGCTCTAGCCACGTGGTCGTGAATACTCAGGCTCAAAGACAAAACACCCCAAAAGTGATATAATAAAGGCAATAATTGGCAGTACCTTGTAAGAAATGGAGCTATTATAAAATAGTACAAAAGTGTTAGCAACTGTCAACCCTTTAATCTACTGGCTGGCTCTGCACAACTTGGTGGTGAATTGATGTATGACAAGTTAGATATTGTGAGGGCGCTTTGTGAGCGAGTAAACAGTGCGGAGGCATAGATAGATTGTTACGGTGTAAGGAAAATGGCGCTGCAAGGAGTTACTAGGGAATCTGGCCGACGCTCAACACTTAAGGGAAAGATGAGACGGATATACTATCAGACAACCGACTGGTACCATTGAAATTGGAACTCTTCGCATGCTGCTGAAGATGGGGACTGAGCACTTATGAGAGTGTCCCGAGTGTTGTGATGTGGATTCTTAATTCACCATTCAACAGTCATTCAACATTCAACTCTTGAGTCTTCCCCTCCTTACCTTCAGTGATGCCGCCACCGCTTTGACTTCTGCAGGCAACAGCCCGGCATACCTGAGATCGAGTTTCTTCCCCCAGAGCTGCCTCTTTACCTGCGACCTGGGCAGCAAGTTATTGGCCTGGCATATCCTCTCGTAAGTGATGTGGCCAACGTCACAGTCCTGTTGCATCAACTTCTCGTGAACCTCCATGGCACGAAATTCTGATGTTACTACAGACATTCAACAATTTTTGATTCAAATTTTTTTGGGGGGATCCTTTTATAAATGATACATTACACGTAAAAGTAGAAGTAAAGTTCCATTTTCACACCTTAGTCGCATCGGGTATATGAGAAGAGCACCCATATTTTTACAGACCAATCGGCGCTAGGTGGGCAAAGTGGTCAGCATTACGCCGGCCGTCTTTCCTTCCCCAGTACAAACATCCTGATACCTATTTTAAGCTGGGTGGACCTGCGACGCCCCATACCATGATACAAATCCACCCAGCCAGTTGTTGATTTCGATCGCTGTACTTGATACAGTACAAAGACCCACTCAATTATAACTCGTCGGGTGCATAATTTGATGTCGGGTTTCATTAGTCTTATCGTCTTCATTCTTTCTGATCTTCTTCTTCTTGAGGTCAATGCCGTTTGGTGTTGGCAGTCATGTCTATCCACAGCCCTCTGTTTCGTGTACTTTCAGTCAGCTCTGACACAGATGATTTTCATTGTCATGATTTCAGACTGTTAGGCATCTTCTCTCTCGGTCTCCCTCCGCTTCTCTTGCAACTTACCTACTGTCACGATGTACTTTAATTTTCTCCTTCTCATGACAAGACCAAAGGTGCCCAATTTCGTGTACCTAATAATAAACTACACACATTCGTTAACTGGTACCTGCGCAGAATTGAGGGGATTAAATGGTATCATATAATCACTAATGTAGAACTTTGAGAGATAACTAAACAAGCTCCGGTGAACAAAGAGGTGAAGAAAAGACGCTGGCGTTGGATAGGACACACGTTGAGAAAATCTAAGAACAGTATAACTGAAATGTCTTCGCACTGGAACCCATAGGGGCATAGAAATAAAGGAAGGGAAAAAAATGGAAGCTGGAGAGTGAATTTTTGTGCACGTGAAGAGCCTAACGGCTCTGCCCGGGCAAAATTTGGAATAAAAAATCTACCCAAAGTAGTTCAGGATCCTCGCAAGGTTACTGCCTCATGATGTTGATCCGCTGTTCAAATCATCAAACCACCAAGATATTGAAGATAAAAAGATGGTGAGGATATGGGGAGAGCTGAATGTCATAGCGAAGGATAGAACGACTTGGCGTGTGTTTTTTGATGGCTTACACTCCACTGGGGTTAGAAAGAGAGAACAAGAATAACTAAATTCTTGCTTTTTATTTTATTGTTACTACCTTGTCGTTAAAGCATTCTATCTGTATCTTTCTTTATTCGCCGGGTTCTGTTTCTCTCAGTTCCAACTTAATCTTTACGTTTTTTTAAGGATGAAATTTGTTGTTTTTTGAAGCCCCACCCTGGCTTTTGCCAGGGGCCGCAATACAGGCAGGCCGTAAATGTGGCCAGTTGTCTGAACGCGGTATCTGGGACCTCTCCACGGGTGATCCTCATCCACATGGTGGCACATTGTGTCATCGGGTGTTTATCGCTTGCGTGATGTCCTAGTGGGGCAGAAAGTCAGTCAGTCAGTCAGTTATGTTTCTCTTGCACAGCACACGTTCGCATTAGGGCTAATTTCTCTTTTTAACCTCTTCGTTTTATTTGTCCGATACATCTGATTTTACTGTGCTACAGGAAGGGTTCGGCGTTTGTGGCTTGTGCGTTGCGAACGCAGTTTGTAATGCCGGAATGCCGGGTTCGATCCCAGCTTCGAGCCTTGCGCCTTGCGTTGGTTACGACAATGGTATCGAGAAGCCGACTGTCCAGAAAGCAATGCCAAACTACTGCACGTAAATTTGCCAAGAAAAACCACAACAGCAGACAAATGCCGGGGTTGGTTCTGCAATGTCCTGTAAAGGATACGCCACTAACCTTTTCAGGAAGGGCCATCCTAACAAACATACCCTCTGAACAATTCCTCGAGGCTCGACAAAAAACAGCGGTCCCGTGCTAATCTGTGTATTTTAAGTGAAAAGTAAACGTGAAGGAAACTTTCCCACGCATTTCAGGCCTATTGGGCATATATTTGGACGGTGATGTTGTCAGCATCACGCCACCCACCTTTACTTTCCAGAACTGAACCTGGTACCCATTCAAGGCTGGGTCGACCTGGGAGCCAAAGTCATTTAAAAAACAAATCCTGCCCTCGTCAGGAACCGAACCCATAACCTTCTGATCCGCAGGCGAGCGTCTAGCCGCTAGACCACGGCTGTCTCCATGTGTATGTCAAGTGACTTATTATAAATAAAAAAAATATTTTTTGTTTAAATTAATTATTTCCAATATAAAACAAAATTGTCCCCAACCCCCACCCACTCGTTGCTCTCTCTCCAAGTGAGTATCTCAAGAAATACATGGCTCTTAATAAAATCGCCAGACTGCGTTTACAGCACAGAAAAATAATTTTGGACAATCTGATGTCTGTTTTTCCAAATGTTGACATTGCTTTCAGAGTTAGTTAGTTAGTTAGTTAGTTGGGTTATCATCATTGCACTCCGGACATGTCCATAGGTGCTCAGATCCTCCCCTCAGTATGAACCCCAACGTCCGATGGCTGATAGTACCAGTTCTATGTTGATTAACAAGTCTTCTGACGTGTCCGGTGTGCGTCTCGTTTTTTGCTGTGCCGATCTTAATTCCCAAGTCTGCCATTCTGGCGAGTGATGTGGATTCACTGCCACCAAAGTCCTCTATCCTTCCCATTTCTCTGAGGGCATTGATAATATCAGCATGATCCATAGGCCGACCGTCAGTAGTGATAGCGGATCCAGCCAAACTGCCAGCTCTTTCATTTCCATCGACGCCTGCGTGTCCCGGAACAAAAATAAAGGTGACTCCACGCACAGTGGACTTCTGAAGTGATTCAAGGCATTTTCTTCGCACTGAACCTGCCTGAACCCTCCGAATCATACTCATTGAATCACTGAGTATACATGTGTGGGTGTATTTTTGTGTTTCGAGCCAGGCAAACGCTTGCGTCACTGCCATCACCTCCATCGTCATGCTGCTGGTTGTCATGGAGAAGGCGCCGTTGGCTTCTTTGACTGTTCTGCCCGCTGAGCGTGCTGTAAATGCCCATGCGTTTCTTCTTTGGCGTATAACGGATCCGTCTGTATAGATTAGTGCATCTGCTTCGTCTGAATTTTCACCGATGAGAGCGTTGACCTCTGCATTAACAGCAACAGGATTTTCTTCTCTACATCGCCTGTTGAGTGTGACAATACAGGAAAATGTACAATTAAACGCCTGAGGCACAGGTATCCATTCTGCACCAGGTATGATGTCGGTTAGGCTGCATATTTGCCTAATAACATCTTCTGCCCGACCTAGCCACGATTTTCCCCTCTTCAGTCTGTCGCCCTTTTCACTAAAAAGCGCTTGATGCAGTGGGTGTTTCTTATCAGCACATATTTTGAGGTATGCCCTAGCCCTCCACATCCTGATCCTTTGGTTCATTGTTGGAAAGTCAAGTAGATACCTCGCTGCTCCACATGATGTGTCTCTTGTGCATAAGATAGTGAAAAAAATGCACTTGCGAATGTTCTTTTTCAAGACTGCAAATTATTTATTTTTTTAATTGTGATTCGCAGCACAATGGAGCAGCATTGTTTCAATTGGTTTTCACTCATGTGCATGGAAACGGCACCCTGAAGACCACTGACTTCAAGCCAAAATTAAATCAATTTTGTGAAAAGAAATGCCGCAAATACTTGTTATAATAATAAACTCTTAGCAATTTAATACGGTGCAATTTAATCTGTGTTTTTGTTTTATCACCAGTTTTGTTGAAGTGCCAGTAAAATAAATGTGTGTTTAATATTATCTACAATTTGGACTGAATTTCTGTGACTAGTTGTCGAAGAGGCCCCGGCATAATGGTTTGCCCGGGGGTCCATAATGCTGTTGAGAGGGCCCTGGATATGGGTTATACCTAAAGAACAAGCCCCTTCCTCTCTCTCTCTCTCTCTCTCTCTCTCTCTCTCTCTCTCTCTCTCTCTCTCTCTCTCTCAAATGTAGACATGATAAAGCAGTAACTCACTTTCGAGATCACAATCGGTATCAAACTCGTCGCTATCGTTTTCAGGCGAAAACGTCACTTCCTGTTCAATATGATTCAGTGACTCTTGTTCTTCAGAAGATAGAGAACTACAGCTCATAGATCTGCTGGATTCCGAAGACTCTGCCAGCGGTTTTGAAGTTCTCTCAGACTTTTTGGGATATTTGTCCAGCGCCGAAGACACAGCTTTGGAAAGGTCTGATGGGAAAATTACAGGAGGCAGTTGCATGACTGAAAGCTGTCTTTCTCTGAACGGTGCCGTTAGCTCTATTTTAGATGAACTTGTATGTACTTCTGAATACCAAGTTTCAGCAGTGGTAACAGTGTTAGGAAGCAGCTTATGCTGGGTGAGATCTGCATAGCTGTTAGTATGGTCTTCTTCTAGTACGACTTTGTCTTCTATGGCGTACAGGGATTCGGCCTTTTGTGTAGCAATGGCTTCTGGTTGTCGTTCTAGGGAGTGATGGATTTCTTTAGTGGTATCAGGCAGCAGACATATATCTCCGTGTTCTTCGTAAAACTTCCGTAGCTTTGATTTAAGTGGCCGACTGAAAAAAAGTACAAGAAAACGTAAAACTGTTGGCTTAAAAAAGTACGGGCGCACGTACACGTATATGCGTATATTACATACATACATTAGTCTCTTTACTGGAAATAAGAACATACGCTTGTAATAAAAGGCTCACAGTTTAAGGTACAAATAAAATAGCTACCAAGATATAATATAATATTGAGGTAACACATGGTGTGACATGTAGCAGGTCCTTTGCAGAACGTCGTTCTCATCACGGTCTGCCTGACAGAAACTGCTCTCTCGCCAGCTTTCCTGTTTCGTGTACATTCATACTCGAGGAGTCACTTATATCCTGAGCCCATCTTCGTGTTGGTCGGCCCCTGCCTCTTCTTCCTGGTACCATGCCTTCTGCTATTACTTTTCCAAAC